GGGCTATGGGAATCCCCTACTCCTTCCCCAGTGGGACTGATGCTCATTACTCAGGTAACCAGACACCTAGGGAAAAATACCCAGATCTTTCAGGAAGTGTGGCTGAAAGCAGCAACAGACATTTGTGGTCATCCCAGTGTCTGCAGGTGAAGAATCCAGAGTGGCTTCACTGTGCATTGCTGCCTCATGGGCCTTCCTGAGGTTGCAGTAGGATGTCTTCCAAAACAGCTGGGGCTGGGCTGCAGGGCCTGCCTCCAAGGCACTCACTACTGAACTGGCAAGTGGGCCAAGGGCTCCGCTTCACAGCAAAAGAGGTGTGACAGCGAGCACACCCTCGGTGTCTAGTGGTCCTGTTACGTGCTGTACCACCCAGAGGCTGCTGGCTGATGCGGGAATGGGGTGGCCAGTGGAAGACTCAACCACAGGACCAGCTTGGAGCTGCCACCTGTGAAGCCAGGGCACCATCCTTCAGGGTGTATATGCACCCCCAAGTCCATGTCCAGTACACGGTGTGCCCAGTGGGTAAAATACCTGGGCCTAAGAACCAAAGAGTGGAAGCAGGAATCGCCTAATTTAGCATCATTCTCAGTGACCTACTTGGAGAATTTGTTCTTCCTGTCCACACAACTGCAGACTCTGTAGGTTCAGAGGTTCTGGTTTCCAAAGCGGTGATGCTTCCACCAAGTGACACCAGTCAGGCCAGGCTACTCAGGTCAAGACACAAGTAGGCAGGGGAAGTCACCCATTGAGCAGGGGCAATTGACCTGAACCATCAGAGGAGGTAGGGTTGCTGTCACACAATGGAAGCGGACAAGACTGTGTGGCACCCACATGGGTATCTCAGGACTCTTTCACCTGATATAGTCAGCAAATAGGCAAGTGTAGTCAGCTGTGGCTCAAGAAGGGAATGGTCACCAGGGGCTCAGCCTTGTTGGGGCAAGTATCTGGGGCAACGCGCCAGGTGAGCTATCTAGTCCAGCATGGGTCTAGTTGATGGTGAAAGGGATCTGAATGAGCAATCCAGGAGAGGGTTTGAGTACTGTACTGTATCAGCTACAAGCCTGAGACTAGCTGCAGCAGGAGCTCATGCAAGAGCCTTGAGGAAAACACAGATGAAACCTACACAGCTGTGATACAGAGAAAATGACATGAGATCTCACATGCGGTTGTAGTCAGATGGGGGACTGGTGCTGAAATACTTGGTGATCTTGAGCTGCTCCATGTGGTCTGCCCCATGTGGGCTGGTTGGGCTTCCTCACAGCATGGTGGCCTCAGGGCAGTTGGACTGCTGACAGGGCAAATCAGGCCTCCATGCATGAGTGCTCCAGCGAACATGGATGTCATGGAACTCACACAATGCCACTTTCACTACATTCTCTTTGTAACAAGTGTGTCAGAAGCCCACCCATGGGCTAGGCACAGTGGCTTATGCGTGTAATCCCAATACTTTGGGAGGATCCCTTGAGACTAGAAGTTTGAGACCAGCATAGATAACACGGAGAGATCCTGTCTACAAAAAAGAAAAGAAAAATTGGTTACACCTATAATTTCAGCACTTTGAGAGGTGGTGGTGGGAGGATGCCTTGAGCTCAGGAGTTCAAGATCAGCCTAGGCAACATAACAAGATACTATATCTTTAAAAAAAAAAAAAGTTTTAATTAGTCAGGAATAATGGCACACACCTATAGTCATAGCTACTCAAGAGGCTGAGACAGGAGGATCACCTGAGCCTAGGAGTTTGAGGCTGAAGTAAGTTAGGAGTCCACCTCTGTATTCTGGCCTGGGCAACAGAGTAAGACTCTATCTCTAAGAAAACAAAAATTAATAAAATAAAAAACAAATATATAAACAAGATTCAATGGGAAGAGACATAGACTCTATGAGAAGAATATCAAAATCATATTGTAAACCAAAATTCTAAGCCCCAACTGATAGAATGGACTCCCTGTTGGTCAAGGGGATTCCAAAGAAACCCAAAAAAATGAGTTCAGGCCATGATGGGAAGTGGGGCTCACACATCCGTCATCATAGACTCCCCCCTTTAAGTCTCAGCACGACTGACCGGCATTCACATTAACACAGAGAGGCTCCTGAGACTGATGGAACACTCCTTGTAGCAATAAGAGACCCAGCTCCAACCTGACCCCGTATAGTATCACACGACACAGAGCAGGCCCCAAGGGAAATCAAAGTATTCTACCCCAAAAGAGATTTTCTTCGACATATTTTGAAATGGACTTGCAAAGCCGTCTCTTGCGGGGGAAATTTGCATTCTGTAGAGAATCTCCTTCCCTTACTAGCTCTTTTCCAGACTCTGACACCTTTTAAGGTCCCAAGAGACATGCACATCTATTCTCTCTGAAGCCTGCTATGCGGAAACTTCATCTACGTAACAAGAACCTTAGCTTCCACATTCCTGTTGTCTTAACTCAGGCACTTCTTTCTGGCTACTTCAAATCTTCAGGTAAAGCTTAACTCTCTTAACCAATTGCCAACCAGGAAGTCTTTGAATCCACCTATGACCTGGAAGCACCACTCATCCACTTCAAGGTGTCCCACCTTTCTGTGCCAAACCAATGTATACTTTACATGTACTGATTTATGTCTTTGCCTGTAACTTCTGTAAAATGTATAAAACTAAGCTATAACCCAACCACCTTGGACACCTGTTCTCAGGCCCTTCAGAGGCTGTGTCACAGGCCATGGCCACTCACATTTGGCTTAGAATAAACCTCTCGAGACATTTTACAGAGTGCGGTTTTCCCCATCAACCAAATCCTACAAAGAGCTCGTGAGGTGGGTAATGGTGTGAAGGCCATCTTTGGCAAATACAGTCTGCCCAAGATTGTGGCACTGTCCTATCAGATAAACTCAGTGGCTTAACACAATTATAGCTTATTTTTCCCTCTTGTCGCAGCTCTTTGGGCTCCTCATCGTTCCATGTGGTTCTTCAGAGCCTCCATTGGTGGCTCTGACCTCCCTGTGGTCCTCAGAGTGCTCTCCACTGGGTCAGTGGGTGAGGAAGAGAGCAGGGCTCACCCACAGGAGGTTGTTAGGGGCCAGCCTGGAAGAGGAGCACAGCGCCTCCCCCTCACCATCTCATTGGCTAGCACTCAGCCATGTGGCCGCACTTGGATGCAGAGGCTGGACAGTGGAGTCCAGCTGTGAGCCTGGCCGACTGTGGGGGCATGTGTTAGTGAGTACTGTCCACATCAGGCTCAGAGCATCTGACCTGAGGCCATGGGGATGCAGGGGTTCCGAGGGGGTGGATGGGACTTAAGCAGGATGCAGTCTTGCTGGAGAACCCGTTCTCAGGTTCCATTTGTTAAACCAATGGGCAAGAGGACCAGCACTTTTGATCAGAGCTGCAGCTCTGGCCCCACTAGAATATGCCAGACAGGGTCACAGCTGTGTGGTTCTCAGACAGTAAACCCCAAGCCACAGACCCTTGCTTTCTGGGGCAGGGAGTGTAAGGTCTCCATATGCAACCCTGGAGGCGGAAAGTCTGAAGTCCTGCCTGCCCTGGCTGAAGTCTACCACCCCCTGCCTGCATTCGCCATTGTCCCTGAATGCTTCCCCGGACAAGCCCCTCACCCAACCCTGTCATCTTAAGCTGTTCTTACGATACTGTCAATACCTCTCACCCAACCCTGCCACTGTAACTGAACTTGTATACTCCTTCCCCCTACCCCCTACCACTGTAACTAAACTTACTCTGCAACACCCCTGTCCCCCCCCGAAAAAACTACCCAAACCTATAAAACCAACTCCTGTCCCACTGCCCTTTGCTAACGCCCTTTTCGGCCTTAGCCCACCTGCACCCAGGTGAATAAACAGCCATGTTGTTCACACAAAGTCTGGAATATCTCTTCATTGAGAGCGTGCATTTTTTCAACAGGGAGTAGTGGACAAGGCTGGCTCCTGGCAACAGTCCCCAACAGGCTGCATCAATGTGACTGCACCTCCCCCGAGCGACAAGAGGTGCTGTGCTCACGCTCTCAGCCTGGGTGTATTCTCACTTTGTTCACAGCGCTTCTATCTGCCCCATTTCACTGAGGCTCAGTGCGGTTACCCACCATGCCCCAGGTCACCATCCAGTAACCCAGAAAGTTTGTCTTGGCTCCTCCACTAACTGTGTGATCTCGGACAAGTCAGGTACTATCTGTAAAAGCCTGTTCTCCTTAAAATGGAGAAAGTCGAGCCGGGCTCTGTGGTTCATGCCTGTAATCCCAGCACTTTGGGAGGCCGAGGGAGGAGGATCCCTTGAGCCCAGGAGTTTGGGACCAGCCTGGCAAGATAGCGAGACCGCCATCTCTAAAAAATTTTGTTTTTCATTAACTGGTGGCATGCGCCTGTGGTTCCAGCTTCTCAGGAGGCTGAGGTGGGAGGATCACCTGAGCCCGGGAGGCCAAGACTGCAGTGAGCCCTGATCAGGCCACTGCACCCTGGCCTGGGAGACAGAGTGACACCCTGTCCAAAAAAAAACAAAAAAAGAAAGAAAACAGTCCCATAACAAGCCCCTCATGGCGCCACCCAGATGGGGTTTCGACGCGAGGGAGAAAAGGGAAAGGGTGGTCAGGGAAGGCTCCCGGTGGCAGACCTCCCAGAGTCCATGCTGAGCTGATTTTTGCACCGCAGCCTTTGAATCCCGTAGCGGAGTGCAGAGGGCGGGATGCAGGTACTGCAAAGAGGCACCACCAGAGCATGGGCTTTGGGCGAGGAGGGGTCTCCTCTGGTTGGGGGAGATTTAGCAGGCTTGGGGAGGATGGGGCTGAAAGGATCGACAGGGAGGGAAGGCCAAAACACTGGAGACCGGGATGGAGAGCTAAACAGCGAAGAGCAGGCGCCCTGCCCGCCGCAGGCCCCGCGCCTCCAGCTCCCCCTTCCCGCGCCTCCCCGGGGTGGGCGCCCAGCGGGCCGGCAGGCAACGTGCCCCGCCCCCGCCTGCAGCCAATGGGCGGCGTCCCCGCCCGCGCGGCCGCCCCGCCCCCCGCGAACCCGGAAGTGGGCCCGGCACCTTCCCCGCAGGCTGCAGGGATGGGGCTGCTGCGCTGGCTGCCGTTGCTGGCGCCGCTGCTGCTGCTGCGACCGCCGGGGGTCCAGTCCGCCGGCCCCATTCGGGCCTTCGTGGTGCCCCACAGCCACATGGACGTGGGCTGGGTCTACACGGTGCAGGTAGGTGCCGATGACGCCCCGCACGCCCCCGACGCTGCAGCTTTCCTCTTCCCGCGGGATCCGAGCGTGGGTTTGCGTCCCGGGACCCGATGCCGGCGCAGGAGGCTCACTGGGTTCAGGACCCCACGCTGCTATTGACTGGTTGCGTCACTGACTTCGGGCCGGTCACTTCCTGCCTCCGAACCCCAATTTCCCCTTCTGAGAGTGGTGCAGAATGGATGGGCCCCTTCATTCCCGGCCGGGGAGGGGCGTGGGGATTGACAGCGGTAACCCATTTCTCAGGGAGGCCTGGAGCAGGAGAGGGTGGGGCTGGCTTCAGAGCTGGTGGATGTCAGGTGCTTGCTGGGAAAGGGCGGGGCTGAATATTGGAGACCAGCTCAGCGTCCTCCACCACCCAGGACAGGGGTGAAGGTGGACCTGTGGTCACCTCCGGGTTTTACTCAGGACCTTGGGTGAGAGGCTTTGCTCCCTGAGCCTCAGTTTCCCCATCTGTAATGGGAGAACAGTAATCCCTACGGTACATCCAGGGAGCCTGGGTGCTCCAGGAGTGGCACGCTTCAGATTCCTAACACAGCCAGGCTGCCAAGACTTAAGAACTGGTCTGATCTGGGGCAGCCTTGGGTTCCCCAGGTGGCCAGAAGCCAGCCACCAATGCTGCTTTCATCGTGGTCCTGAATGTGAGGAAGGGAGGTTCCCATTTCTGTCATCTGTGTAAATGCTCAGTGGCCCCTGCCTGCCCGAGCCATATGGGGATTGGCTGTTCCCCACAACTCTGAAGGGAGCGGGTCTGGCCCCCACCTCACTCCTCCCCAGCCATGCTGGTCTCTATCCTCACTCCCTACACCTCCAAGACTACTCCTGCCTCAGGGTCTCTGCACTGGCTGTGCCCTGCCCAAAAGGCGTTCCTCCCCAGTGTCTGCCAGACTCAGTCCCTCCCTTCCTTCAGGTGGTTGTTTGAAAGTCAGTTTTTTGAGGAGACCTTCGCTGCAACCCCGACTACACCTCTGTTCCCTTCCTCATCTGTCCTGTAGGTTTTCTCCGTAGGCTTGCCTTATTGCCTTGTTGCTCACTCTTTTCCCCTGGAATGGAAGCTCCACAGGGCAGGGGCTCTGTGCATTTTGTTCACTGATCTGTCCTTACCAGGTCTGACAGCCTAGGTACTCTGCGAATATTTGTTGAATGAATGTGTGATATGAGTGCGAAAAGAAAATGAGGGAAAAGCCTGGATTTTCTTGAGTTTCTGGGGTGGATGGCTGGGCATTGTGGAGTGAGACAGGAAATACCTACATAAGTGAACAGAAACCTTTTGTGAATTTGGATATAATGCCTTCACAGAGGACATTAGTAAGAGAGGGGCGACATTTTAAAGAGAGAGCAAAAGTTACAGGAAGAGGGTTTGATGTTGAGTGTTAGGTCCGGTCCTAGGGAGCATGTGGCAGCCTGGGGTGGGGAGTGAACCACCCAAAGATGGAGACAGCTTAAGGGTAGGGGAAGCATGTCCACTACAGCTGGTTTCCAGAGGAGGAAACCGAGGCCCATTGAGGGTTGGTGCCTTGCCCAAGGTCACGCGGGAATAACCCCCATGCCCCCTGACCCCTGTTCTGTGCCCCTTCCATTCACTGACACACTGTGCAGGCACCCCTGTGTGTGGGGCCCTGGGGACTTGGATGGGAACACAATACAGCTCTGGCCCTCAGCGCTCCCAGCCTAGGGGAGGCAGACGACTAGACCCCAGGGACAGCCTGGGGAGCTCCTCCTCTCAGCACCAGTTTTCATCATTTCAGCCCCAGCAGGCCCCTTTGGGGTCACTGGACCACACCCCTGCTGGACCCCAGGACTTTCCTGTGCAGCCTCCCAATTGCACACTCAGGGCGCAGCTTGCTTGCTCCTCTGGGAAGGTGACCCTGACCCCTGGGCTGGGCAGGCACGTGTCTCTGCCCATGTAGGGTGTCTGTTTCCCTCCCTCTCTCCCAGGAGAGCACGATTCCATCCAGTGGGGAGAGGCTGGTGCAGAGCGGGTGCCTGATAGCTGTGTGCTCGGTGAGAGCAGGGAAGGAAGGGCAGAGCCCCCAACTCTGTGCAGATGCGCCGGCGAATGGCAGGGGCCCCAGGGACATTTGGTCTTGTTGGACCGGGGTTGGCATGATGCTGTCCCCTCCCCAGGAAAGCATGCAGGCATATGCCGCCAATGTCTACACGTCAGTGGTGGAAGAGCTGACCCGCAGGCAACAGCGTCGCTTCATCGCCGTGGAACAGGAGTTTTTCCGGCTGTGGTGGGACGGCGTCGCCTCGGACCAGCAGAAACGCCAGGTAATGACGCCACCAAGTGACACAGCTGGCCCGGTGGCCTGGCAAAGACCTAGGCAGAAAACTCAAGGGGGCAGTTCTAGCCACGGCCAGGGTCAGGGTCAGGCTGGCGTAAACCACGGGACCAAAACCCTGCCAGGCTGTTAACAAGCCTCGTTTAGATCAAGGTTTACAGTCAGTTTCATGCCTGGAAGAGATTGATTTCAATTTAATACTGAATTCCTGGCTACTCTTGAAAAAACGGCCAGCTCTGCCAACCCAGCTATGCGCTTCCATGACAGCTAGCGCTAAGTCAGCGATGCCTCCTGACACCAGGCGTCCCAGGCGTCCTGAGCTGGAGCCCTCTTCTGTCATTTGCATTATCTGCCTGGCCTTCTGGGCCCCAGGTCTGGTGACCCTGGATGACAGTGCAGCGGTCCCTGTGGTTTGAGGGCAGACAGCAGATTGCTTCAGCATGGAGAGTCAGAGTCCCCACTGCATAGTGAGGCAACCTGGGTCCCATCCTGCCCCCGCACCAGGGGACACGGCTAGCCCCTGCGAACCTCAGATTCCACTTCTATTAAGAGGAGGTGACCTCCTCGTTGCAGAGAGGTCATGCCAAGAATCAGGCCCTGGCCTGAGCACCCAAGACGATACTCAGGGGCTCTTAGTTTTCTTCCCGGTGTTCACCTGCCTTCAGAGCAGTTGCTGATCATAAAGTTCAGAGCTGCCAGTCAACTTGCTCAAGGGAATGAAGCCAAGAAGGGAGAGCAGGGAGTCCACCAGGTCCTGCCAGAGTCACAGGAAGGAGTCAGACATCCAGTGGTCACTTGCTGCTGCCAGATAGTGGGTTGTTACCTCAAGTTAAGGAGACATTGCAGGTTCAGAGAGGGGGCCACTGGCCTGTGGTCACATAGCTTGTAAGCTGGGATTCTGGGCCAGGCATGCCTGACTTGAGGCAGGCCTTTCCAGGTGTCCTGTGGGCGGCCCATGCTTCTTTAGGTGGACTCTCCCAAACCCAGTGTCTGTCGCCTAGCCCTCAAAGACAAGCATGGCCCGCATGGCCCAGGAAAGACCTGAACAGGAAACGTGTGGGCTGGGCTCCCTCGAGGCAGGAATTTAGGTGTTCACTTAATATTGGTTGAGTGAGTGATCTACAAGTAATGCACCTTAAGAAACAAACCAAAGGCACAGCTATAAACAGCTGTGTGTACACATCCTGAGGTGTGGAGAGGCAAGGGCATGCTGCTGCTAACTTACTTTAGGTGGTTTGGGACAAAGGCGGTGTGTGTGTAGAGATGGGGAGTGAAGCAAATCGGTTACAAATGGTAGTGATGAGCGAACCTTGGGAGAGGATACGGGAGCTCTTTGTTCCATTCCTGAAACTCTGATAAAGCTTACAATTATTTAATAACATAAGACTTAAGAAAATCTTATATATATGAATATATAATATATCCCAAATGCCACCTGGGGGCCGCATGATTTCTAGGTGGTGGGGACACAGTGTGGACCAGGACAGACAGTGCCCTGCTTCTGCAGAGGAAGCAAGGGTGCCACGTGTGTGGCGCTGTAGGCGTGTGCCACACAGACCCAGCCACAGTCAGGAGCCGTAACCGGCTTTTTTCTCTCTGCCTTCCCATGTCAAGGTCCACCAGCTCCTGGAGGAAGGACGCCTGGAGTTTGTCCTCGGAGGCCAGGTCATGCATGACGAGGCTGTGACACACCTTGATGACCAGATCCTGCAGCTCACAGGTTTGGGCACCCTTCCCTGCACCCAGGGTCCCCAGGACCTCCAGGGGACTCGGCCTCAGTATCCGGAGTCCCAGGTTCTGAGCTCTTTCTGCCCCTCTTAGTGGGCTGGGGGGACCTTAACCAGTGAAAGCAGTGATTTGCTAGTGCCATATTCATGTGTCACCAAGGAAGTTAAACGTAGGGGTTAAGAGCATGCATGCTGGAGTGAGACGGGCTCGATGTATCCTGGCTTTGCCAATTCCCAGCTCTGTGACCCTGGAAAGGAATGTAACTTTAGTTTCCTCGTAGATAAAATGAGTCTGATGGTAATGCCTGCCTCAAAGAGTTGTTGTGAGCATTAAATTGGGATCATTCAGATAAAGCACTTCAATAGGATGTGGGTTCCCTAGTGAATGCATGGTAAATGTTTGCCGCCTTCACCATCACAATCACCACCATCATTACCACCACCACCACCTTCAGCACCACGATGACCATCACTACTACATAACCACAGCCACCATCGCCACCACCACCACAGTGACCATCACCATCAGCACCACCACCCTTCACCACAGTGACCATCATCATCACCACCACAGTGACCATCACCATCACCACCACCCTTCACCACCACCTCCCTTCACCACAGTGACCATCACCTTCACCACCACCACCCTTCACCACCACAGTGACCATCACCATCACCACCACAGTGACCATCACCTTCACCACCACAGTGACCACCACCCTTCACCACCACAGTGACCATCACCATCACCACCACCACCCTTCACCACCACCACCACCACCCTTCACCACCACAGTGACCATCACCATCAGCACCACCACCCTTCACCATCACAGTGACCATCACCATCACCACCACAGTGACCATCACCATCAGCACCACCACACTTCACCATCACAGTGACCATCACCATCACCACCACAGTGACAATCACCATCAGCACCACCACCCTTCACCACAGTGACCATCACCATCACCACCACCCTTCACCACAGTGACCATCACCACCACCCTTCACCAGCACAGTGACCATCACCTTCGCCACCACCACCCTTCACCACCACAGTGACCATCATCACCACCACCACCACCCTTCACCATCACAGTGACCATCACCATCAGCACCACCACCCTTCACCATCACAGTGACCATCACCATCACCACCACAGTGACCATCACCATCAGCACCACCACACTTCACCATCACAGTGACCATCACCATCACCACCACAGTGACAATCACCATCAGCACCATCACCCTTCACCAGCACAGTGACCACCACAATGACAATCACTACCACCACCACCATCATTATCACCACCCTTCAGCACCACAATGACCATCACTACCACCATCACCACCACCACTCTGAAAACACTATCACCATGATCACCGCCATCACCACCCATCACCGTCTCCACCACCATCACCACATCCATCACTACCATCACCTCCACAGTCATCACCATCACCACCACCACCACAACCATCTTCCTCACCACCGTGTCCGCTGTCCTCAGCACATCCTCACGTTTGCTAAACGGTGAGTAGCCTGCCATGAGGCACTCACCCCAGCCAATCCTAATGGCAGGCTGATGGTGAGGCAGGGTGATGCCCTGTCTCACTTTGCAGATGTGGAAACTGAGACCCAAAGAAATGAAGGGACTGTCTCCGGGGCAGATGACCAGGACTTGAGTCCAGGCCTACGGACTGAAGCTGCAAGTCCACAGTCACTCCACGGCAGCATGGGCCCTGATTTCCCCACTTGTCAAGCATCCAGGTGGAATGCGATGTTGTCGGAGGGTGTTTTTGGCACTCTCTCCCTTTTCCTGTGTGTAATTTGGAGCCTTCCCCATCTCAGTTTCCTACTGCCTTACGTCTGGACTTTGCTCAAGCCCTAGACTTGCCCTTCCATGAGAAGGAGGCGTGCTGGAAGCAGCCCTGTGGCCAGGAGCTCAGCCCATGCTTGTCCCCCTGCCTCCTCACAGGCCCGGAGGTAACGGGGTAAGAGAGCGAGGCACAGGCTGGGAGAGGGAGCAGCTGGCCCTTAGCCACCGGCTGTGGCTTCCTGACTCCACAGCCCCTGCTCTTTCACTCCCCCGTGTGAAGTGTGGGCAAGGGATCCATCCCAGCAGGCCTCCCCCACACCCCTCACAAGCCCACTGCCAGGGCACGTGTGGCACTGTAGGCGTGTCGCCCACCTGCCTCCTGCCCCCCGCGCCAGCGAGGAGGCTCCGGCGCCGCATCTCACCTGTGCCATTTCACGCAGTGCTCCCCCTCATTCTCCACTCTCCTCCTCAAGATGGAGCTGAGAAGCCCCTCCCGCAGGAATCTCCTCCGAGTCCCTGCAGTTCTGTATCACCTCCCCACTTCCCCTGCCAAACTCAAGATGCCCCTGGCAGGGACCCTCAGCTGACTCATCTCAGCACCCAGCATAAGGTCTGGCCCAGACCAGTGCTCACTGGACAAGGCCAGGCAAGGGGTGGGCACTGAACTGCCCTGCCCTGGGGGTGCCCACCGCTGGGGTACCTTGCCTCTGGCCTCAGCCCACTGTGCCTAAGTGCTGATACCCCAGTGCTGGCCCTGCAGGTCCAACCTGGCAACTGGAAGCCCCAGGGAACCTGAGGCTGTGTTGCTCTGGGGCAGGAAGAGCCCCCAGAGACACTAGAGAGAGTGGGTGTTGGGAGGCCCCATTTCCAGACCTGTCCAAGCTCATGGGCCCTCTGGGGACAGACACATGACAACCCCCTTGTTCTAGGTACAAGATGTACACATATTTTTTTCAGTCCTCAGGGCAATCTGGTAGATGGGTAATCTTACAAAAGCTTATTTGTAGAGAAGTTTGAGGCTCAAATGCTTTCAGAGCGTGCCCACCACCAGCTAAGTGACGGGTCCCCAATCTGACCCCAGCCTGGCCACGTCAATAAGGTTACATGTCGCTGGCCCCTCTCCCTGGTGGCTGAGCCAAGCCCTTTCCCATCTGCCAGCTCCTGGTTGCCTCAGAACAGCCTGGTGGCAGATGGTACTGTTCACTGCCCCATTTGACAGCTGAGGAAACTGAGGTACAGAGGTACAGGACTGTATGCAGTAGGTAGCAGAACTGGTGCTCAGACTCACGTGTGCCTGGCCCAGGCTCCCCCTCTAACTCGTAGTCCCGAGGGTGGGGGAAGAGCATGTGCATTGGACTCTCTGGGTGGCCTTTCAGACCACCCATCTCAGATGTCCCAGGTATTCTGGCTGTGAAATATGTCCACAGTGGGCTGGTTTTCTCAGATGTGTTGGGGTGAGAGGGGCTGGGCCACCCCTCACTGCTTCTGGGCCCTTCATCCTCCGTCTCACCTTGGTGGATCCCCTGCCTCAAGGCAGGCCCTGGACAGCAAAGGAAGACAGGAGCAGGCTGGCACCGCCTCTAGACCTCTGACCTTCTGCTTGGGGTAGCTGGGGTGCCAAACCATCTCCTCAACCAAGACCCACTCCTGGGGGACTGGGGCTGCCGGGCCTGCCTGTGAGCTAACCATTCCAGCCTTTACCTCCCCAGCTTCTGCTCCCCGCAGGCACGCCAACACCACCTTAATTTTAGATGTGACATTTCTAGTGAGGGGAAAAGTACTTGTTCCCAGCACCACAGTGACAGAGAAAAGCTGGGTGTGGGCAGCAGCCCCTGGGGATAAGAGCTTTCATGCCCTTCCCTGAGGGGACAGCTTCCCAGCCAGGATGCTTAGCAGAGGCCTGGCAGAATGGCAGGTGCCAGAGGGAAAGACCCTCTTACCCCTATCCTGAGGGGTGAAAGTCCAGCTCAGGCCTCAGAGGTGCTGAGAGGCAAAGGGTCCAGGCAAGAGCCAAGAAGACACCTGGGGCCGTCCTAGATGACCGCTGCTGTCCTGGCCATTCAAACCCAAGCTCTTGGCCCTGCCCCCCGAGCCCACACCCCTCCCACTCAGCGACCCCTCTCTCCGGTGTCACGGACTCTCTTCTGCCTTCTCTTGTCCCTGACTCCTCGCAGCAGTATTTATTTGTTGTTGTGGTTGTTGTGAGACAGAGTCTCACTCTGTCACTTAGGCTGGAGCGCAGTGTCGCGATCTTGGCTCACTGCAATCTCTGCCTCCTGGGTTCAAGCAACTCTCATGCCTCAGCCTCCCAAGTAGCTGAGACTACAGGCATGCACCACCATGCCCAGCTAATTCTCATATTTTTAGTAAAGACAGAGGTTTTGCCCTGTTGGCCAGGCTGGTCTTGAACTCCTGACTTCAAGTGATCCACCCACCTTGGCCTCCCAAACTGATGGGATTGCAGACGTGAGCCACCAAGCCTGAGCCCCAGCAGTATTAAAAACACACCTAAATTGTCTCTTTTTAAATTTATTTATTTATTTGTTTTAAGATGGGGTCCACTGTTTTGCCCAGGCTGGTCCTGAACTCCTGTCCTCAACATGATCATAAAGTAAGCTTCTCCAGCTCAGGCTGGAGCAATATTATTTATTCCCACCACCACCTCACCCGCCACCACCTCCCACTACTTAACCCTTGGCCCCTGCAGCCTGGCCTCTGCCCTCCACATGCTGGCTAGCTTCCTCGTGACCTGGTCATTATACTGGTGAGGATACTGGTTCAGCAGCTTGAGCAGAGACCAAGTGACCCTAACAAGAGGGAAGGTGTGTTTCTTTCCTGTGGAAGAGTCTGCAGTGCAGGCCGCTCTGGTGACTGAGTGGCCCTGCTCCATGATGTGACCCAGGGATCCAGGCTTCTTCCAGCTTGATGCTCAGCTATCTCCCATGGTGTTGCCTGCCTAAGTTGCAGTTGAGGCTGGCTCACCCCCCTCCATTGTCCTTCTGGCAGCTAGGGGATAGGGAATGGTGGAGCCAGGGCAGGCACCTTCCTTGTAAAAGATGACCCAGAACCTACCCACATCACTCCTCACATTCCCAATTGACCAGAACTTTGTCACATGGCCTCCCTCAACTGCAGGGAGTGCTGGGAAATGGAGTCTATTATTTTGCTCACAGCCCATTGGCCAAAGTGGTGTCATGTGACCTCTACCAGCTGCAGAGGAGGCTGGGGAATGTATTATCTGGCTTGCAGCCCATGTGCTCTGCTAAAACCAAGAAGGAGCATGTGGTTCTGTTACTAAAAGGAAGAAGGACAGGGTGTATATCGGAGGTCAAGTAGCAGTTTCAGCCATGAATCTCCTTGAAGTCTCAGGAATGCTTTCTGCTGGAGGGCCAGAAAACCTGAGTAAAGCTGTTACTGGTGGAAGGGATCCAAGTCACCAGCAGCTAATCCATACGGGTCTGCAGCACCCTCAGTTCTTGCCTCAGAAGAAAGAATTTGAACTGATGGGCATAAGGCAGTAAAAGACTGAGGCATGTTTTAGAGCAGAAGTGGAAGTTTATTTTAAAAGGCTTTAGAAAAAGAAAGAAAGGAAAATATGCTTGGAAGAGTCCCAAGTAGGCATGTGATGGTCAAGTGCTGTGTGGGTCCTTGATCCTAGGAATTTATAGGCTGGTCCCTTTTCCCATGATTCTTCTCTGAGGGTGGTCTACCCCCACGCACAGTACCCTCCTTACCCTTGGGAGGTGAGCACGTGCAGTGTTTAGGAAGTTGCACGCATGCCTATCTGACGCTTTCTTCCCTTTTCCAGTGGAGTGCCCCTGGAATGTCAAACTCCACCGTTTTGTCTCTTAAGGCACCTGCCCAGGAAGTTGCGTCTCCCTGGCACCTGCATTCCTTTAACACATGAGTACAACAGGTGTGGGCCATCAGGAAATGGTCTCTCCCTAGCCCAGCTGCCAATTTATCACTTTCAGAAAGGCAACGAGATCATTGCCAAACTATCACCCAACATTCCTAGTGGGTGGGGAGGGCCCTCCTGTGCCCCACTCATGGTTGTCTAACCACCTGTAACAAAGCAACTTGAGTCTTAAGAACATTTACTGTTTGCGTAACAAGATGGGGATAGTTTGGGACTGGTTCTGCGGTACCTTGATATCTGTGATTCTCATGTCCTTACCCTCATGGTCACAATATGGCTGCCATAGCTCCAGGCATCATGTTACCAGACACTACATTCAAGGCAGTAAAAGGAAGAGTGGGGCTTTCTATACCCATAGCGTATTCTGTTGGACAGACTTAGACACGCTGAAATGTTAGCGTTTATTTGAACAAACAGTGATTCCTGCTGTGAGCAGTTCAGGGCCCCACTAAGGGAACACGAGGGAAAACTTCTCTAAGGTGCTCCTGGAAGCAAGACAGAAAACATTTGCCTACGGTGAACAGTCCCTAGTTAGAGGTTGTTGGCAGCTTCTGATGGATCAAGCTTAAGTTCTCTTTTCCTGTTTACAGTGAATTGGATTGGGTTTGCTGATGGAAGAACCCGAGGCCTGGAGCCAGCTTGGCCTGATGGCCTCCCAGTTTGTTTCTTAACAATGCCCCTCCAGCTGCCACACAGGCTGAGAGAACAAATATCTGACAGGAGGGAGTGAGCATGCCATATTTGCCTTAGATCAACTGTGATCATCCCTTGAGGCTGGGCGTGGTACCCCCGAACAGAGGGAAGGTTCTGCGAGTGAAGAAGGGGTGCTGACTTGGCAGTTGTCAGCCTGCTCCCGTCGGCTGCCCTGTCTGGTGCTAGGCCATACCCTCCAGAGCTCCTGCCCCCTCTCAGTGCCGTGCTGTTGCCCACTCCCTCCTTCATCCTGTACCTGGCACTCCCCCGGTGCTCCCCCCACCCTCTGGCTGCTCCTTCTCCATCGTCTCTGCTTACACTCACACGGCCTACGCCCACACTCCTAGTCCGTGCTCCCTCCTGGTCCCCTGACGCCAGCCCCACCCCTCACCTCCCACAGTCACCCCCCTGCCCTGTCTTAGCCTTGCTTATGGGTCTGACCACTGCTCGGTCCCAGCATCCCAGGCCTCATCTGAACCTCAGCCAGGGTCCCCAGGACTGCGAGTTCAGCAGTGAAAGGCAGTTTGACTCTAGATCAGTTATGAGAGTTCTCTGAGGCTTTGTTCACCAATCTTAAAGTGCAGATTATAACACCCATCTCTCAAAGTATTAGAAAGATTATATTTGGGGGAAAGACTTGGGGAATGTTAATCAATGGCTTATACAAGTATGGGGTTTTCTTTCTCCCTGCAGCACTGAACCCAATATCTGGTTCACTATGGTGACTCTTCAGTAATAAATGAGTAAATGAATGGCTGGGTGATTCTGGCATGGAGCCGTCTGTATTTGTGATCTATTTCCATGTGGCAAATTGTCTCAAAATTCAGGGACTTCCAAGAACAGACATTTCATATCTACAGCTCCTGTGGGTGAGGAGCTCAGGAGTGGCTTAGCCAGGGGGTTCTGCCTCTGGACCTCTTGAGAAGTTCCCATCTGGGAGTCAGGTGGGGCAGTGTCATCTGAAGGCTGGACTGGGGCTGGAGGATCTGCTCCAGGCTGGCTCCCACAGCTGTAAGGGGAGGCCTTGGTTCCTCACTGTGTGACTGCTCATGGCACAGCAGCTGGTTCCCCAGTGCAGTGACCCAGGAGAGCAGGCAAGAGCCGCCACAGTGGAGGCTGCGTGCACTTCATCTCACCTCAGGGGCACACAGGCATTTCTGCCTCATTGTGTCTGTTAGAAGAGACTCAGTGCGTCTGGCCACCCTCTAGGCCCTACGCCTCACCCCTTGAAGAAAGCGATAGTTTATGATGTCTTTTCTTTTTCTTTTTTGAGACACAGTCTCACTGTCTCCCAGGCTGAAGCCCAATGGCAGGATCACAGCTCACTGCAGCCTCAACCTCCTGAGCTCAAGCGATCCTCCTGCCTCAGCCTTCTCCCAGCCTAACTACCTGGGACTACAGGCATCTGCCACCACACCTGGCTAATTTTTTTTTACTTTGTGTGCATGTGTAGAGACAGGGTCTCACTGTATTGCCCAGGCTGGTCTCAAACTCCTAGGCTCAAGCAATCCACCCAAAGTGCTGGGATTACAGGCGTGAGCTACCTTGCTGGTCTTGGATGTCTTTTGAACCACCACATGCTTAAGTTTGAAGTTCACCTTTAACCTTTTATTGTTGGTGATGTCCAAGACCTCCATAGCATCATCAAAATCCATGCTGTATCCAAGTTCACACAAAAATTCTCACCCCTGCATGTTATAACATGCAGGAACCTTGAGGACATTATGCAGAGTGAAATCAGTCACAGAAGGACTAATGCTGTGTGAGTCCACTGGTATCTAATTGATCATCAAATTCACAGAGTCCGGGGGGTAGAATGGGGGTGCCAGGGGCTGGGGGAGGGGCATGGGGAGTTAGTGTTTAATGAGGACAAGAGCTTCATTTTGGGAAAAGGAGAACATTCTGGAAAGGGGTGATGGCGGTGGTTGTGTAACAGCGTGAACATACTAACACCGCTCAGCTATACACTTGGAAATGATCGTATGTTACGTGTGCTTCACCAGATTAAAAGGTAATAACTAACATCCTCACCCCTGCAGTTCGGCATGGCCCTGCCTGGTACTGCAGCCCACTGGGCGGGGAGGGTCCCCTGGGGTGAGCGTGGGGGCGGGAGGCGCAGGCCCACCCTCCAGACACCAGCGGGCGATGCTGTCTTTGCAGAAGGACACGGGTTTCTCTATGAAACATTTGGGATCCGGCCACAGTTCTCCTGGCACGTTGACCCGTTTGGCGCCTCTGCCACGACCCCCACCCTGTTTGCGCTGGCAGGGTTCAATGCCCACCTCGGCTCCAGGATCGACTACGACCTGAAGGCAGCCATGCAGGAGGCCCAGGTGAGTGTGTGCCGTGACTGCTGCCGCCCGCCACCGCGGCTTCCTTCCCTCCGTGGGTCAGAGCATGGTGGAAAGACGCTGCTCTACGCCGGCGTGCTCGGGAATTGCTGGCAGCCACATAGACCACGGGGCTGTCCCCTAGCCTTTGCTCTCGCTGTCTCCTCCACCAGGAGGCCCCCCTTCCCTGTATGCCCAGCTTCTCACAGAGCTGCAGGCATAGCATGGGGGTCTCCCGCTTCCAGACCCCTATCTGTAGGGCTGTTGGGCCCCACAGGGTCGTGGGGTGTCCCTTATGCTGTGCTGAGGTGCAGGATCCGAGAAGTAAAGAGACAGGACACTGAAGAACTGGAGAAGAGCAGCTGGACTTGGGGGGCCACGCCACCTATGATCAGAGATCAGCGAGAGCCCCAAATGCACAGAAGCATCTGTATTTATTAGGTACAAGCAGGGGGCAGGGTCGTCAGTGAGGTCATCATCTATAGGCTTAGGGCATACATAATCACATGAGTCACAAGTGAGGGGGCCACCCCATTATGTCACCTGGGCAGAGAGGTGGGCCGTGCGCAGTAGGGGGCCGTGCAGTGTGCAGTAGTAGAGGGTCGTGTACAGAAAAGAGGTCCACCCCCATTAAGTCACCAAGGCAAGGAGGTGGGCTGTGTGCAACAGGTGTCGTGTGCAACACTTCTTATCTAGGGGCTGGAGACTTCAAAGGATTTCTAATAGAAGAATATTGTAAGCCAATGCGGTGGGAGCTGACAGACTTGTGTTCTTCTCTTAAGATATTTACGGGAGGAAGATTTGAGGCAGCACAGAAGTGCCAAAAGGCTGACAGGGTGTACAGCCACCGTGAATGGTCACACCAGAGGGGTTCTTCTCCCTCAGGTATTTCCAGGATCTCAGGCCTGAGGCCTGCTTTCCACAGGAACTGGATGCAAGGTGCTACAACTCCTTTATCAGGAGGAGAGGCTCTTGCTCCAAGCTGGCCATACAGCGTATGTCCTTTCAGGCAGGGACGCCACCGCCTGGGTCTTTGGTTCTTGTCCTGGTCTGGCTGTTTTCCCATGTACTGCTTCTGTTCTGTGACTGCTCTAGGCATTCCTCCTACTACAAACTACTATATGGTTATATAGAAGGATTCTATAAATCAGCACTAAATGTGTCAGTACAGCTCTGACTACATAGAACTGAGTATGCTAGATATAAGTATTAAGTATGATTATATAAGCTAGATATATGTAAGCAGTGAGTTATGCTTCAGGCACTAATTCTATAAACTAATATATGATTATGTATAAAGGATTATATAAAGGAAATAGCTGAGTAATAACACTATAACTAAGATATTCTTCAGGCACTAATTGTGCCTGGGGTCTGGACAGTTCTCCTTCCTCGGTGCCCATGGGGGGTGTTACCCACACCTATCCGCTTCAGCTGGCCCAGAGGTGGGCTTATTCCTTCTGTGGGCCCCCAGCAGGGACGACAGCAGAATGGCACTCAGTAAGCAGGGGCTCACGGCCAGAGGAATGGCAGGGCGTGTTCAGCTGGGAGAAGAGTTAGCAGCGACGCCCTGACCCTCAGGTGTGTGGGCAGCTATTACTACAAGACTTAAGTAGCAGCCACCGCCCTGGTAGACGCTGCCCTCCATCGTGCCCGTGGGAGTGCCAGGCCTGGTTCCAGGCCCTACCATCCGTCATCTCTTTTTCTTTTTTTTTGGAGACAGGGTCTCACTGTGTCACCCGGGCTAGAGTGCACAATCTCGGCTCACGATAAATTCTACCTTCCGGGTTCCAGCGATTCTCGTGCCTCAGCCTCTCAAGTAGCTGGGATTACAGGTGTGCACCTCCAACCCCAGATAAATTTTTTTTGTATTTTTTGTAGAGACAGGGTTTCACCATGTTGGTCAGGCTGGTCTCAAGCTCCTGGCCTCAAGCGATCCACCCACCTCAGCCTCCCAAAGTGCTGGGATGACAGGCGGGAGCCGCGGTGCCCGGCTTCATCTTGCATTTCTTTTAACCCTCACAGCAACCTTATGGGATGGTGTCTTAGTTTCCTGGGGCTGCCGTAACAAAGCATCACAGACTGGTAACTTAAGCAATAGAAACATTGTCCCACGGTTCTGTAGGCTGGAAGTCCAGGGTCAAGGCGTCGGCAGGGCCACGCCCCCCTCTGAAGGTGCAAGGGAAGGGGCTACTCCAGGCCTCGCTCCTTGGCTTGCGGACGTCGCTCTTCTCCCAGTGCCCTCTGTCATCTTCCCTCTGTGCATGTCTGTGTCTCAGTTTTCCCGTTTTCTAAGGGCACCTGTCCTATTGTATTGGGGTCCACCTTAATGACCTCATTTTAACTTGATTACTTCTGTAAAGATCCCACTTCTGGCTGGGCATGGTGGCTCACGCCTATAATCCCAGCCCTTTGGGAGGCCAAGGCAGGCGGATCACCTGAGGTCGGGAGTTCAAGACCAGCCTGGCCAACATGACGAAACCCTGTCTCTACTAACAATACAAAAATTAGCCAGGCGTGGTGGCAGGTGCCTGTAATCCCAGCTACTTGGGAGGCTGAGGCAAGACAATCGCTTGAACCCGGGAGGTAGAGGTTGCAGTAAGTCGAGATCACACCACTACACTCCAGCCTGGGCAAAGAGTGAGACTCTGTCTCCAAAAAAAAAAAAAAAGACCTCATTTCCAAATAAGGTCACATTCTCGGGTACTGGAGGTCTGGGGGTTAGGACTGCAGCATATTTTTTGAGGGGGGCACAATTCCCATAACAGATGGATAAGGTTATAATCATACCCATTTTACACATGAGGAAACTAAGGCCCAAAAAGTTACATATCCTTTCCAGGATTGATCTGGTAACAGTTCTGGAGGGCAGTGGTCGGCCTGGCCAGCGGGAGTTACACAGAAGTAGACATAGGCTGTAGGTGGGCAGGAGAGGTCACATTTTTATTGTGAGTGGGGGCTCTTCAGTGCCTCCTGAACACATACTTCCTGGGTCTGCCCCATGTCACCTGCTGATGGCCCTGTGTGCTGGGTGTGGGCCTCCCCATTTTTCATGCAGAAACCGAGTCGCAGAGCCAGTACTTAATAGAACTAGGACTTTTTTTCCTGCTTTGTAAACCCTGAGCACTTTCTAACCATCAGAACTATTAAAAATAAACTGTTCCTCAAGGATCTAGAACCAGAAATACCATTTGACCCAGCAATCCCATGACTGGGTGTGTATTCAAAGGATTATAAGTCATTCTGCTATAAAGACACATGCACACGTGTGTTTATTGCTGCCCTATTCACAATAGCGAAGACGTGGAGCCAACCCAAATGTTCATCAATGATAGACTGGATAAAGAAAATGTGGCACACATACACCATGGAATACTATGCAGCCATAAACATGAATGAGTTCATGTTCTTTGCAGGAACCTGGACGAAGGTGGAAACCATCATTCTCAGCAAGCTAACACAGGGGCAGAAAACCAAACACCACATGTTCTCACTCATAAGTGGGAGTTGAACTATGATAACGCATGGACACAGGGAGGGGAACATCACACACTGGGGCCTGTTGGGGGGTTGGGGACTAGGGGAGGGATAGCATTAGAAATACCTAATGTAGATGACAGGTTGATGGATGCAGCAAACCACCATGGCACGTGTATACCTATGTAACAAACCTGCATGTTCTGCACATGTACCCCAGAACTTAAAGTATAATAATAAATTGATAAAAAAAATAAACTGCACACTTGGTGAGAAGTAATGAGCTCCGTGCATCTGGGGGCATTCAAGCAGAGTTAGAATGCGCTGATCCTACAGGCTTTGGCAAAGAAAAGCCTGCATTGAGGAGTGGGTGGGGTGAATGAGCACGCTTTCCCAAGGGAAATCCCACAACCAGTCTTACAGAGGAAACAGCAGAGGAGATCTCGTCCTTGAACCATTGAGGGAGGGCTGAGGTGAGGGCAGGCAGGACACATCCAGATGGGGCTGAGGGAAGTGCAGCTGGGGCAGCCGCTGGGCCCCTCCAGCCTCACTCTGCTCCCTCTTGGTTTTCAGGGGCTGCAGTTCGTGTGGCGAGGGTCCCGATCCCTGTTGGAGCAGCAGGAGATCTTCACACACGTCATGGACCAGTACAGCTACTGCACCCCGTCCCACATCCCTTTCTCCAACAGGTACGTGCCCTTCCACGGTGCCCTTGGGATCTGAGACAGCAGGGTTGGCCCAGCCCCTGCAGCTGTTCTACAGCATTGTTTTTGTTTGTTTGTTTAAGACAAGAATGTCCGCCCTGTTGCCCTGGCTGGAGTGCAGTGGCGCAATTTCAGCTCACTGCAACCTCCATCGCTTGAGTTCCAGCGATTCTCCTGCCTCAGTCTCCCTGGTGGCTGGGATTACAGGTGCCCACCACCACGCCCAGCTAATTTTTTTTATTTTTAGTAGAGACAGCGTTTCACCATGTTAGCCAGGCTGGTCTCAAACTCCTGACCTCAGGTGATCCACCCACCTCGGCCTCCCAAAGTGCTGGGATTACAGGTGTGAGCCGCCGTGTCTGGCCCTGGTCTGCTGTTTTTGACAAGAGCTCCTTGAGCGTTTCCACACATGGTTTCCCATTCTTAAGCTTCCCCAGCAGAGTGGGTGGGCTTATCAACCGCATTTTACACATGAGGAAACTGAGGCTCAGAGAGAATAAGTGACCAGATTAGGGTCACCCAGCTGGTAAGGAGGGGAAACAGGATTTGACTCCAGTTCTGTGTGACTCCGAATTGCTTCTTGTTATGAGTCCCTGTCTCAACAGAGGACTATTTAAAAGTTGAGGCCTTGGCTGGGTACGGTGCCTCATGTCTGTAATCCCAGTGCTTTGGGAGGCTGAGGTAGGACAATCATTTGAGCCCAGGAGTTCAAAACCAGCCTGGGCTTCATAGTGAGACCCTATCTGTATAAAAACTTAAAAATTAACCAGGTGCATATAGTCCCAGTTATTTAGGAGGCTGAGGCAGAAGAATTGCCTGGATCCAGGAGTTGGAGGTTACAGTGAGCCATGATGGTGCCACTGCACTCCAGCCTGAGCAACAGAGTGAGACCCTGTGTCTATTTAAAATAAAATAGAATAAAAATAGGTGTCAGACCTGTAATCCCAGCAGTTTGGGAAGCCAAGGTGGGTGGATCACTTGAGGTCAAGAGTTTGAGACCAGCCTGGCCAACATAGGCAAAACCCTGTCTCTACTAAAAATACAAAAAAAAAAAAAAAAATTAGCTGGACATGGTGGCAAATGCCTGTAATCCCACCTACTTGGGAGGCTGAAGTTGGAGAATCACTTGAATCCAGGAGGCAGAGTTCACAGTAAGCTGAGATTATGCCACTGCACTCCAGCCTGGGTAACACAGCAAGACTCTGTCTCAAAAATAAGTAAATAAAAATAAATTAATTAAAACGATAAGGTCTTTACATCGGTGTTCCCAAGAACCTCCTTCCTGGCCATGACAGGTCCCCTTCTGCTCTGGCCTCCGCTGTCGCTATCTGCAAGGTGAGGAAGTTGAATGCGCTGACTTCCGGAGCCATCCATCACCCCCCATCCCGTCCACAGCCCTCCAGGACACTGTCCAGCATCTCCCTAACACCCTCCAAGCTCACCTGCCCTCAACCACAGTGACCTCCCTGCCTCCGTCCTGCCTGGGCCTGGAGAGTGAGCTGGGTTCCAGGCTGCAGTTGCAGGGATGGGGTGCAGTGGATGTAGGGGAAGGTCCCCTCCCCGGACACAGATGTTTCCCCACCTATTCCTGACATGGCCTGGCTTTGTTGTTGGGGATTTGGCACAAGGGTTTGTCCCCGCCCACCCTTTCCCCTCCACATCCTTGTCCCTGTCAGGAATCACACTGAAGAAGGCTGGAGGAGGCAGGACGCAATGGCTCACGCCTGTAATCCCGGCACTTCTGGAGGCTGAGGTGGGTGGATCACTTGAGGTCAGGAGTTCGAGACCAGCCTGACCAACCTGGTGAAACTCCGATTCTACTAAAAATAAAAAAATTAGCCAGATGTGGTGGCAGATGCCCGTAATCTCAGCTACATGGGAGGCTGAGACAGGAGAATCACTTGAATCCACAAGGTGGAGGTTGCAGTAAGCCAAGACGATGCCACTGCACTCCAGTCTGGGCCACAGAATGAGACTCCATCTCAAAAAAAAAAAAAAAAAAAAAAAAAAAAAATGGCTGAAGGAGTGGGAGAGGGAAGGGGCCTGGGAGTCTCGGGAATAAATCACTGCTCATCCTCATCTTGTAGAGCCGCCTCCTGTCTGTTCACCTTCTCTTCACCCCGTGGTGAGGGAGGGGTCCTCGCCCTAAATAGTAGATGGTTGAACACACACCACCCTGACCAGCACAGGTGACATCCGCTGCAGTTTCTGTTTGTCACATGCACTCACAACTCACACCATGCTCGCCAAGGCCCTGTGGGGGTGCACTGTGGAGCGGACTGAACACACAGGGGCAGCCGTGTAGCAGCAAGGGGGAGGGTGCCCTCCAGCTCCGGCAGAGGACGTGAGTGGCTGGTGTGAATAATTTCACCAGTGGCAGGGACGTGGAAACTGTTAGGTGGAGGACAAGGTGGCATGCAGCTGGTCCGACTGCTAGCGGAAGAGCTAGACAAGAGGACATTCCTGCTGGTGGGGGCTATCAGGTGGCAGCTGGGGACTCCTAGACCACTGGGGGCCTTCAAGTCTCAGATGTCAAGAAGCACATGGGATTTCAGCCTCACCGTACACCTCCTTCCCCAGAAGGGTTTGGGTGAGGACTCAGTGGGGACCAGGAGTGTGGAGCCATGGACCAGAACCCCCGCAGGCAGAGAGGGACAGCAGTGAGCCCACCTGCATGTTCCTGGCACATGAGCCAGGCCGTGTTCCAGGCATTCTCCCCATGATAACTCACAGACCCTCGCAGCAGCCCCCTGACAGAGATGCTGTGAATGCTCCATCTTACGGAAGAAGAAACCGAGGCATAGCCACCCACCCCAGGTCCCACACCTGGCAGAAGTGGTGGAGCCGGCGCTGGATTCCGGCCATCGGCTCCGCCGCCTCCACATGGTGGCAGCAGCCAGCCTCCGTCTCCGTGCAGTCAGGCGGCCCTGGGTTCAAATCCATGCTCTCCCCTTTGTGTCTGTGAGGTCCTGGCCAGGTGCTTAGCCTCACTTGGAACAGAAAAGACAACAGGCAAGGCAGATGCGGATGAAGAATGCCGGGCGGGGCTCATTAGCGGTCCCTGCCATTTGTCAGCCCCCCCCTGCTCCCAGCGCTATTTCTACCTCCTTTCCGTAAATGACGTTCATTTAATCCTCACTACAACCTGCTCTGCATTCTACCAGGGAGACCGAAGCTTGGTGAGGCTAGAGGTGGCTGATGCCGCTATCCCAGCGCTTAGGGAGGCTGAGGTGGGAGAATTGCTCAAGCCCAGGAATTTCAGATCAGCCTGGGCAACGGGGCAAGACCTGATCTCCACACAAAGTTTACGAATAAGTCAGGCGTGGTGGTAGTCCCAGCTCCCGGGGAGGCTGAGGCAGGAAGATGGCTTGAGCGCAGGATTTCGAGTGAGCTGTGATCGTACTGCCGCACCCCAGCCTGGGCAACAGGGTGAGACCGTCTGTAAAAGAAACAGAGGTGGGCCGGGCTCGGTGGCTCAAGCCTGTAATCCCAGCACTGTGGGAGGCCAAGGCGGGTGGATCACGAGGTCAAGAGATCGCGACCATCCTGGTCAACATGGTGAAACCCCGTCTCTACTAAAAATACAAAAAAAAAATCAGCTGGGCATGGTGGTACATGCCTGTAATCCCAGCGACTCAGGAGGCTGAGGCAAGAGAATTGCCTGAACCCGGGAGGCGGAGGTTGCGGTGAGCCGAGATCGTGCCATTGCACTCCAGCCTGGGTAACAAGAGCGAAACTCCGTCTCAAAAAAAAAAAAAAAAAAGAAACAGAGGTGGGAGTGCTGGCAGGGGTTGCCCAGGATGGAGCGCTCCAGACGAGGGTCCCACGGGTGTTACCCCGAGGCTGCACAGTGTGAGCAAGGAAGGCACTTAACTGGGGGTTCTCCACACCCCAAGCCTAAGGCAAAAGGAGGAAGATGTTAAATACCGAGCCTGTCTTTATTTCAAACTCTGACATTTTCTTCATCATGGTTTTTTTGCATTAATTTTAATTTTTTAAAGTACTGCATTAAAATAGCATTTATCTCAGCTACTGAGATTTGAGGCATCCCCATAAATTTTGTGCTGTAGGCCAGGGTCTCACTTGCCTCACCGGGGCTCCAGCCCACTTGGGGTCCTGAGACCCCGGGTCTGATGGGTGAGGAGGTGGCCTGCGTAAATGAGCAAACAAATCTCTGACCTACCGTTGGTCGTGGAGTGAGAGGATTCAGGCTCAGGTGAAATGCACCGAGGTCCCAAGGCTGGTAGAACGTGGCATTTGGCTGTGAGTTCTGGCTGTCCACAGAGCTCCTGTCTTCTCCCCTAACCTTCTGCTCTCGCACAGGTCAGGATTTTACTGGAATGGCGTGGCCGTCTTTCCCAAGCCGCCCCCAGATGGGGTGTACCCCAACATGAGTGAGCCCGTCACCCCAGCCAACATCAACCTCTACGCTGAGGCCCTGGTGGCCAACGTGAAACAGAGAGCCGCCTGGTTCCGGACACCCCACGTCCTCTGGCCCTGGGTAAGGCAGAGTCCCAGGCCCTATGTCCTCAACACAACCCAGGGAGTACTGTGCAAGGCCTGGCCCCTGCACCGAAGGCCACCCTATCCAGACCGATCAGACAGCCATGCTCAGCCCAGTGGCTCCATCCTCCTTCCCGGCAGACCCCTGGGCCTCTCCCACTCTGCCAGCCCCTCCCCCACCTGGAAAAGCATCCTCACCCAAGCTGGCTTCTCTAGCTCCCACTCAGCTTTCCTCCCTGCCTGGGCCGGAAGCCTGGCTCCCTGCTGGGGCACTGCGTTCCTTAGAGCATGCTGAGCCTCATTTGCCTCCGCTATAAAGTGGGGATGGTGGCAGCAAACTCGATGAGAGTCGAAGGGCTCCCAGGAAGCCAGTGCCTGGCACGTCATCGCCATCATCACAGCTCACCTTTAGTGAGCACCTACTGTGTGCTGGGCACTGCTCCATGGGATATGTTTGTCTCATCCATCTAATTTGCACCACTGGGCCTAGGAAACAGGCTGGTAACCCATTTCACAGTTGTGGGAACCAAGCCCAGAGAGGTTAAGGAATTTTCCTGAGGCCACAGAGTTCCTTAGCAGGGTGGCTAGGAAGGGGTGGAATTTGTGTTCAGACCCAGTTGGGCAGGCCCCACAGCTGGACTTCTTCATCCATGACTGCCCTTTTGAAGGCAAGCTTAAGGTCAGTAAGTGACTCATGGTTATTATCATGGTTATTAATAATTATATTAATTATAATGGTTTGGATAAGTAGTAGCACTGATGGACCTTAAGAGATGTCCAGGGCCAGGGGCGGTGGTTCACATCTATAATCTCAGCACTTTGGGAGGCCAAGGCAAGCAGATCACCTGAGGTCAGGAGTTCGAGACCAGCCTGGCCAACATGGTAAAACCCTGTCTCTACTACCCCAAAACCTAAAATGCAATAAAATAAATAAATGGAAAAAAAAAAAAGTCAAGAAACAGTAGATGCTGGTGAGGCTGTGGAGGAATTAGTTTAGCTATTGTGGAAGACAGTGATTTCTTCTTTCTCCTTTGCACTGTTATTATTGTACAAATTAAATCCTTATACATTGTATTCTTATCAAACAAAAAAAAAATTAGACAGGCATGGTGGTGCAGGCCTGTTATCCCAGCTACTTAGGGAGGCTGAGGCAGGAGAATTGTTTGAACCCAGAAGGCAGAGGTTGCATGAGCTGAGATTGAGCCACTGTACTCCAGCCTGGGCGACAGAGTGAGACTCTGTCTCCAAAAAAAAAAAAAAAAGATGCCCAGGGGATTCTGCTGTGGGAGCCATTTTTTGGACAGTGGGAAGTCAGCCAGCAGGAGATGGTGTTGAGCCCCCTTTCCCCACCCCCCGCCGGGCGAGCGCTCTGCTCCCATGGCACAGGGTGTTTCTCCTGTGTCCCCGCAGGGATGTGACAAGCAGTTCTTCAATGCCTCGGTGCAGTTCGCCAACATGGACCCGCTGCTGGACCACATCAACAGCCACGCTGCCGAGCTCGGCGTCTCAGTGCAGTATGCCACGCTGAGTGACTACTTCCATGCCCTGCACGCTCTTAATGTCACCTGGCGTGTCCGCGATCACCATGACTTTCTGCCCTATTCCACAGGTACAGCCTTCCAGGGGCTGGGGTGGCAATTTGGTGGCAAGGAGGGGACAGTCCATGTACCCTCTGCCCACCACATTGTCTGCTCAGCACTGCTCTCCAAGCCCTCGAGGAGTGCCAGGCAGGTGCTGTGTGGGGTGCAGGAGCAGAGACTGGCCCCCACCTGCTCACTCCACCTGGACGTCCTGGCCGCCACATGTACCACTTGGTTCCCACGGGGTTCAGCCTCTCACCGGTGCCCACGCATGCCATTTCCTGCCTCTGGCCTTTGCGCAGGCGGTGCCTCCTGCTGGGAGCAGCCTCCACCACCTTCTCTTCCTGCCTGAATTCCACATACACCTCCTCCAGGAGGCCCTTCCTGAGGCTGAGGCTGACTCAGGCTTCCTTTCCCTGCATGGGCATCACAGTCATTACTGGGCAGCTCCTGTGGCTCACGCCTGTGTCCTCAGGCCAGAACTGGGCTGGCCACCAGCAGCACAGCCTGAGAGCTAGGAGGGCTGGCTGGGAGTGAGCCTCTATTCCCCGGCCGTGTGTAAGTCATGAAACCACCCTGCCCCCAAAGGGGGACATTCGTGGTGCCTTGTCCATAGATAGGGTTGCTGTGAAAATTCAATGAGGGGACGTACTCTCAGCTTCCTGCCCAGCACGGAGGCAGGACCCAGCAGGTGTCCTAGCTCTGCTGTCACAGAATGCCACAGAATGGATCATGGACGAGGAAGAGAAGTGTCTTTGACTCACAAGTGTAGAGGCAGGAAGTCCAAGCTGGAGAGCCGGTGTCTAGAGCCTTCTTACTGCACCACGCGTGGCCAAAGGCAGAGTGCAGAAGAACAGCCAGACAAGCGGGCTGAACTCACTTTTCTAACAATCCCAGTCCCACGACAATGACATTAATCTGATCGTGAGGGCAGAGCCTTCGTGGCCTAATCACTTCTTAAGCATCCCACCTCTTTATACGGTCACAGTAGCAATTACATTTTAACATGGGCTTTGGAGGGGCTTTCAAACCTTAGCATTTTGCCTCCAAAGAGATGCCACAGATGGACTCCAACCATAGGGCTCATTCTGGCCTGGGCACTGCCTTGACTCACCCATGACCTGGGCTAGTCCTGCCTCTCTGGGCCCCAGCCTCTAGGGCTGCATAGTCGCAGGCCCCTGCTGTTGACACGAGGTTGGAGGCAGGTGGGGCAACACACAGGGGTTGGGGGTTGCACGTGGATGTGGGCGTGGTTGTAGTCGAAGCAGGAGAGGTACATTGATGTGGGCGTGGCTGCTGGTGAGGTGGGTGGGGTGGTGAGTGTGGGTGCAGCTACATCTAGTGGGTAGGGATATACCCAAGTCAGGTTGGGTGTGGGTCTGACCAGGTGGGCGTGGTGTCCACGTGGGCATGGTGTCGTGATGACAGCTGATGCTGTGGAGCCCCTGCGAGACTGAATGGAATTGGGCCCCACCACCCACCCTCAACATGGCTGCAAAGCCGTGGAGGATCCCATCTGACCCACAGGCAGTGGCCTGTCCTCTGGGCCACATGACCACCGCTCCCAGTCTGGTGCAGGACTAGTGGGGGAAGAACAGGGAATCAAGGCAACTCTGGGCACATCCCAGACCCCGAGGAGCAGGAAAGCAGAAACAATAGGAAGCCGCCTTCTGGGACGGACAGCCACTCCCGGGAAGGTTCAGACCCTGCGTCCTGCACGGTCCTGGGCATCCCCATACTCGCTGTCCTGCATCAGGACAGTGGCTCCCTGGGGGTCTCTGAGCCCTTGCCTCCCCTACCATCCATCCTCCCTGGACAGCCAGAGAATGCATGCCTGGCCTGGCCTCCCCATGCCCACGTCACACACGAAGGCCTCTGCATGGTCAAGGCCCTTCTCAGTGGGCTCCCACCCACCTTGCTCCTCCTTTTCCCTCCCTGGGTCTCCCAGACCCTCTCTAGACACCAGCTCTCCACCTTGGACTTCCCGCCTCTACACTTGTGAGTCAGAAACACTTATTTTCCTCTGTCCTGGGTTTCCTAGGCACGCTGGGCTTGCCTCCAATTGCCATCCGTCAGCACCCCACCTGCCCCACCTGACCCACCTGCCCCAGCGCAGCCTGCGTCTCCCACCCTGCCCAGGCCCTTTCCAGGGCTTTCTGGCCAGTTCCTGGTCTGGCTGTGGGAGAAGCCCTAAATTGGGAGCTACACGCCTGGGATCACTGCCTGCCCAGACTGCCTCCTTGGGTGAGCCTGGTAGAGGCCACCTCTGTGGCCCCAGCTTCTCAGCTCTTCCAGGGCTGGAGCTTGGTGGACTTCTGGGCCAGCCCGTCTCAAACTCACTGTCTTCCCTTGTCTCCCAGAACCTTTCCAGGCCTGGACAGGCTTCTACACGTCCCGCAGTGCACTGAAGGGGCTGGCCCGGCGAGCCAGCGCCTTGTTGTATGCCGGGGAGTCCATGTTCACGCGCTACATGTGGCCAGCCCCCCGCGGGCATCTGGACCCCGCCTGGGCCCTGCAGCAGCTCCAGCAGCTTCGCTGGGCCGTCTCCGAGGTAACACACTTAGCCACAGTGGCAGGATTGGAACCTCCCATGCTGTGCTCCGCCCCTCCCTTGTCCTAGCCAAGCCTCCCAGCCCTGGGGCACTAGAGGCCACAGCTTACGGAGGGGAAACTGAGGTTTCCTTTGGTTACAAGGCTGGCGCATGGTGAACCCAGGCCAAGGCTGGGACCACAGCCTGATCCATCCAGCTGGTGGCCTCGTTAAGTTTTATAGTAGTTTACCAAGAGGGATAAAGGACAATGTGGCGTGGCATTTGTGTCTGACAGCCCTGCCTGCTTCCAAATCTTAACTCAGCTGTGTGATGTCAGGCACATGACTCCACGCCCACTCGAGACCTAATTCCCTCCTGTACAATGAGAATGACGAGCTTGCCCAGGAGGACGGTGGGGCGATTGGGTGTGCTGATGTGCACAGCTGCTTGGCATGGTGGCTGGCAAATAGCCAGTTCATGAGCTTCTGTCTCCACCCATTCCCCACTGTACTGAAAGCTGAGACCCGAGACAGCCTGCAACTTGTCCTCGGTCACCTATCCAAAACAGCGTCACGCCAGCCATGACACTATAACAGTTCCCTAAGAGGAATTGCTGGCAGAACATGTCATTGTGTTGTGGGAGAAATGAGGTGACTTTAGGGCCTGTCAGAGCAGGGGGTCCAGAGATGGAGGGCAGGGGCTCCCACATGGGGAGGAAACGTTGGTCAAGCCCATCAGCTTCTCTGGCCTCAGTTCCCTCTTCTGTAAAATGGCGGGGACTCCCCACTTCTCCACTGGCACCTGGCAAGCCAGAACGAGAGCCAGCACCTAGTAGGTGCCTTGTGGGTGCCTCGCAGAGTCGGGTCCTAATCCTGTTCTTCCTCCTCCCCTGGGGGTTGCCACAGGTCCAGCACCACGATGCCATCACTGGGACTGAGTCCCCCAAGGTGAGAGACATGTATGTGGCGCACCTGGCCTCGGGGATGCTGGCCATGCGCAAGCTGATGGCGTCCATCGTCCTGGACAAGCTCCGGCCCCAGGAAGCCACGACGGCCAGCTCCGGTGAGCCAGGCCCTGCGGGGAGGCTGTGGCCCCTTTGTGAAGGGAGAACCTGGGCGGGTCAAGGGAGGGGGTCAACCACCCCAGTTTCAGACTCTGAGTCCGTATCTCCCAGGTCACCCTACCCCACGGTGAGAGCTCGGACAGGTGGCTTCCGTCCCCCCAGCCTCTTTGCTCGTCAGTGCAGTGAGGGAGGGTTGGTGATGTTACAAGAAGAGCCAGAAATAACAGCTAACATGTTTTGAGCGTTTACTAAGCTCAAAATACCCTTCATGCAGTGTTGAATTTAATGCCTCACAAAATCTGTACAAAATAGGAACGGCTACTGTCCTCATTTTACAGCCAAGGAAACAGACTCCAGTTATGTGCTAGCCCAGGGCCACTCGGGTAGGAAGGAGCACAGTAGGGATTGAACCTGAACCTGGTGCTGCCCAGCCTTGCAGAGAGGACTCCAGTGTCCTCAGGGGTCCGGTCCTTTCCTGGCTCCTGGCACTCCCTCCCGAATGCCGCTTTGCTGAGATCACAGCAGGGCAGCCGTGGGACCAGCCTCTTTGACTGTGGGGCTTCCCATGTGTAGAGTGACTGATTGATCACATGCCAGTGTGCCTGGGACTGAGGGGTTTCAAACGTGGGAAGATCCTGGGCAGATGAGGACAGGTTGGTGGCCCTCCGCCCACATGGGACTTGTGAATAGGCCCCCAGGTCCCACCCTGGCATGCACTTGGTTATCTTGCGCTGGCTTCCTTTTGTTTGTTGAGACAGGGTCTCACTCTGTCACCCAGGCTGGAGTGCAGTGGTGCCAATCACGGGCCACTGCTGCCTTAAACTCCTGGGCTTCAGCAATCCTCCCACCGCAGCCTCCCAAGTAGCTGGACTACAGGCATCCCCCACCATGCGTGGCCCATTGTTTTGTTTTTATTTTTATTTTTGGAGAGACAGGTTCTCGCCATGTTGCCAGGATGGTCTCTAGCTCCTGGGCTCAATCAGTCCTCCCACCTTGGTCTCTCAGAATGCTGGGATCACAGGCGTGAGCCGCTGCGCCTGGCCGTCTTGTACTTCTTGGTGTCCCAGCTCTGGCCTGCCCACTGCCCTAGCACCCGATGTGCCCTTCCCCTCCCATCTCTGTCTGTGTACAATCCTATCCAACCCGCAGGCCCTGGAAGGCCCCCTGGCCTCAGGAACACCAGCCAGGTGGAAGAGACAGTGGCAGAAAGGGAGCTCTCAGTTGGGGTCTGCCTTCACTGCCAGGTGGGGCCATTGAGGAGCTGTCATTCCCGTGAACACTCAGGGGAGGCTTCCCTAAGCTGTGACTAGGTAGAGAAGATGAGGAAAGGTGTCCCAGGAAAGGTGTCCCCGGCAGAGGGAACAGCACAGGCAGAGGCAGGGAGGCTGGAAGTGTGTGTTGGGTTCAGGGATCCAGGAGTTCTCAGGTGTGGCCGGAGCGCACACACATGGGATGGTAGGATGGAACAGAGAGGCCAGGTGCTCATCACAGGGACCCCAAAGGCCAGGGTAGGCAATGGACTTGACCCTCTGGGCTCCAGAGAATTATCTGGTGGCTCACGGTGCCCAGCACTCAAAGTTTTGGAGCCAGGCCTTAGAAGCTCGGTCACCTTGGGCAGGTGGCTGGACTTCTCTGGACCTGTTTTCTTACCAGTAAAATGAGCTGATAGAGATGTGTGAGGAACAAATAGAACCTCAGTTCTCCAGAGGGACAAGGACACCTTATGTTCCGAGCTCCCCCGCCTGCCCTGCCCTGGAACCCAGACTGCAGCCCTGAATAGAACGGCAGAACATAGCCCACACTGTGTGTGCGGGAACCACCTGCTTACCTGCCCCCTTCCTGGCTCCCCTGGCAGTTCTGGAGGGCTGGGTCCCACCTGCCTCAGTTTCCCTCGTACTGAGGGACACCTAGGGATACCACATGAGTCACGTGGTACAAAATCTCTTCTCTGTGTGCAGGTGCACGGCCTACAGGACACTTTGCATCGGTCTACAACCCGCTGGCCTGGACAGTCACCACCATCGTCACCCTGACTGTTGGTTTCCCTGGAATCCAGGTCACAGATGAGGCGGGCCACCCAGTGCCCACACAGGTATGGACACAAAATCCTGCGGAGGGGCAGTGGCTGCCTGCCGAACCTGCTCTGGGCCAGGCACATTGTCTTTTCTGACCCTGCAAGAAGGCCTGACTGCCTCTGTTTTACAGAAGAGGAAACTGAGGCTCTGAGAAGCAAAAGGGTTTTTTTTTTTTCCCAACACCACCCAATCCTCCACTTTTCTGACACCAACTGACTGTCCTAAAATCAATTCATTCGTGAACTAAGTACCTGGAGAGAGCCCAGGCCTCACAAGTGAGGGGCTCAGTCTCACAAGACCCCTCATTTCAGACACAGACACAAATGGGGTTCCCAGGCTACCACACTTGTGTCCTGCTGACTGAATTCTGGGGTTTCCATGATACACACACCCCTGATAACTCACTAGAATGACTCAGAACTCAGGCAAGCGCCATACTTACCATGACAGTCTCATTAGAAAGGGTACAACTGGCCAGGTGCAGTGACTCACACCTGTAATCCCAGCACTTTGGGAAGCTGAGGCAGGTGGATCACCTGAAGTCAGGAGTTCAAGACCAGCCTGGCCAATGTGGTGAAACCCTGTCTGTAACTAACATATAAAAATTAGCCAGGCATGGTGGCACACACTAATAATCCCAGCTACTTGGGAGGCTGAGGCAGGAGAATCACTCGAACCTGGAAGGTGGAGGTTGCAGTGCACCGAGATCATGCCACTGTACTCCAGCCTAGGTGACAAATTGAGACTCCATCTCAAAAAAAAAGAAAAGGTACAACTTAGGGACAGCTGTGGGGAGCACTGGCGAGGTGAGGCAGGGCGGGCCAAGCGTCCCGGCGAGGTGAGGCAGGGCGGGCCAAGCGTCCCGGCGAGGTGAGGCAGGGCGGGCCAAGCGTCCCGGCGAGGTGAGGCAGGGCGGGCCAAGCGTCCCAACCCTCGAACCTGGGCTCAATGCCTTGGGAGCAGCCCCATCCTAAGCCACCTATGGGCCCTGCTCAAAGGCACCTCAACAGCGTAGGCTCAGATGAGGTTGGAAGGGGCTATGAACTTTGGAAGACACTCCTGCCACTCAGGAAGTTCAGTGGGTTTAGGAGCTCTGTGGCAAGAACTGGAGAAAAAGACCAAATCTATAATGTTTATTGTACCATAGAGTCCCCAGGGTCACACAGCTGGGAGGTGGCAAACTCCCAACCTCCAGACCTTGGTGGATCAAAAGCCATAGTAGAGTGAAAGTGTGACAGCCCGCCCTTGTAGGAAGACACCACCCAGGAACACACAGCCATTGAGGGCGCTTGGATCCACCCAGCGGACTGATGCTGGGTTTGGGGAGCCAATGTGGCCAGAAGTGGAGGGCCATCTGTGTCATCATCCCTGCCATCCCCTCGAGGACTCGGAAGCTGCTGAGACTAAGGGATTGGTCAGAGTCCCCCAGTGAGGGAGAGGTGGGGCAAGCTCCACGTTCAGGCCCCACCAGCTGTGTCACAGTCTGCCTTGGCTGCTATGAAAAGGATCGTAGGCTACATGGCTTGAACAACAGACATTTATTCCTCACAGTTCTGGATGCTGGAGTCTAAGATCGAGGTGCCAGCATGGCCGGGTTCTGGTGAGGGCCTCTTCCTGGTTGCCATCTTCCTGTGTGTCCTCACAAGAGGCCGAGGGAGCTCTCTGAAGTCTTCTTTACAAGGGCACTAATCCCATTCTTGAAGGCCACACCCTTCTGACCTAATCACTTCCCCAAAGCCCCACCTCCTAAATGATGACTTGGAATCCGGACGTCAGCCATTTGTAGGGACACAGAGATTCAGTCCATGGCATCACTCATGCCAAGGAGGACTTAGGAAATGCCATCAGCTGTTTGACTGTTGTGCCCTGACTGCACTTTAAAAAAAAACTTTAGTGTCGATTTTCCTTTTTTTTTTTTTTTTTGAGGCAAAGTGTCTGTTGTGCAGGCTGGAGTCTGGAGTTCAGTGGCATAATCACAGCTCACTGCAGCCTCGACCTCCCAGGCTCAGGCAATTCTCCCACCTCAGCCTCCCGAGTAGCTAGGACCACAGGCACACACCACCACACACCGCTAATTTTTGGTAGAGACAGGGTCTCACTATGTTGCCCAGGCTGGTCTCAAACTCCTGGCCTCAAGTAATCCTCCCACCTCAGCCTCCGAAAGTATGGCAGGAACCACTGCACCTGGCCTGTTCACGCTCCTGTTCACTGGGCCCGCTTGTATGGGCCGATCCCTAGAAGGGCCTCAAGTGTGGGAAGCTTTCCCTCACTCCCCTGCCTTTGGGAATGTTTGTGATCTAATATGAATTTCCACCCTGGCATGTGGGAAAGTCTTCAGGAGTCTTAATGGAGTGCTTTAATGGAGGTGCTGATGTAGGGGTGGGACTGGACTGCCTCTGTCCACGCCACCCAGACACCCCACATGAGTCAGGCCAACTCCATTCCAGAGGGCGCCAGACATGCCACCCAGCTGACCCTTCTTGGAGAGGTGGAAGACGGGCTAACATCACTCGTTCACTCGGCAAAGCCCCCAAATGCCCATCCTGGGCCCAGCCCTGGGCTGAGTGCTAGGTCCCTGGACCTGAGCGAGGCCAGGCCCCACCCCAGGACACAGACATGGATGTGGCAGTGTGGAGTGGTGACTCAGGAGCCAGGGGAGGGGCCCTCGGCTGGAACTGAGACTGAGGAGGAGTTTGTCCAGCACCGGGAGAGGTGTGGGGAGCTTATGGGTCTTTGCAGACCCCCGCACACCCTTCCCCACCCAGATGCAGCGTCTGTTAAGAGTAGATTGCCTCGGGCTGGGCGCGGTGGCTCAGGCCTATAACCCCAGCACTTTGGGAGGCCAAGGCAGGTGGATCATGAGGTCAGGAGATCGAAACCATCCTGGCCAACATGGTAAAACTCCATGTCTACTAAAATACAAAAATTAGCTGGGCGTGGTGGTGCGCACCTATAGTCCCAGCTACTTGGGAGGCTGAGGCGGGGGAATTGTTTGAACCTGGGAGACGGAGATTGCAATGAGGTGAGATCCCGCCACTGCACTCCAGCCCACGTGACAACAGAGAAAGACTCCTTCTCAAAAAAAAAAAAACAAAGTAGATTCCCTCAACACACATTTCTGGAGCTCCTACTGTGTGTCAGGCCCTGTTCTGGGTGCCAGAGCTGGGGTGCTAACCAAACAGACACAAATCCCACTGCCTGGGGCGTCTCTTCCCATGGGAGAGACAGGTGATAAAGTAAGGAACATATGGACTATGATAGATGATGATGACCGTGAGGCGGACAGTCACTAGAGCAAGTTTAAATAGGTGGGCCAGGCCGTATCAATGCAGGATCGGGCAAACAGAACAGGCGTCTGCTGTATTTGGGATAAAGGCTGGGTTGAGGGGCGTGTACACTATTATTGTGCTTGCTAATAGGGTCCCCCAAAAAGGCCTCTCCACAGGGGCACAGGAACTGAGTGGGCCCACTGCCCTCCTCCAGCCTCCCTCCCCAAATGAGACACCTCGGCGGTGAGTGGAAGCCAGGAGGGTTAACCTGGAAAAGTCCCTCCATATGGGGATGAGAGGATGGGGGGACGGCTCCTCCCAGGAGAAGGCAGTCCAGGTGGAGGGCACAGCGTGGCACAGGCTCAGAGGCAGGAAAGGGCAGGAGTGTCAGGAAGGAAGGTTGGTGATGCCGGAGCCCCAGGGGCCAGAGGAGAGAACGAGGTGGCCCTGGGGAGAAGGCTAGGTTCCAGAGGAGGCTTCCTTCCCCGATTGCAGCAGACAAGGGTCTCAAAAAGCTCACTCTGGTTGCTGCGGTGGATGGGTGGTGGGGACAGCAGTGAGGATGCTGGGCAGTTATCTAGGGAGGGGCCACAGGGAAGGGAGATGAGAGGCTTCAGGAAGACAGTGGGGGGCGGGGGCCTTGGTGGAGGATGGGGGTGGCTGGAGGGTGAGGGATGGGTGCCTGGGATATGGGGAAAGGGAGTGGCTGGGGGATGGGATGACTAGGGGGTGGGGTAGAGAAGGCTGGACAGCAGGGAGAGGAAGGTGCAGGGTATGTGCTGGAAGGGCCATCGCTGGATGGGGATGCTGGGGAGTGCAGGTGCGAGTGGGATGGGGTAGCTGGTGAGGTCAGCTGTGGACATCCAGGTGGAGGTGTCAAGAAAGAAGCTATATGCATGGGTCTCAGGTTCCAGAAGAGGTCAGTGGATTTGGGTTTAGATTTGGGGGTCATCACTTTTGGTTGATGAAGGATGACTAAAGAAGCTGGGGGTGTTCAGGAGCTCCCAGTTCAGGAGCTGGGAGTAAGAGAAGCTTTGGGGACCCCAAGAACCAGCCATCTTCAGGTCGCTGAAAGGTTTTCCCAGGACCGATGTGATTTGTGGGGGTCCAAGAGGAGAAAGCCAGAACTGGGGGTAGGGAGGGGAACTCGGCACGGTCTGAGAGAGGAAAGACACTGCTGCCTCAGCAGGTCGTGAACAACCCAGTCCAGGTGTGTGAGCTGACATTTACAAGTCCCATCCTTCTGACCTCGCAGATCCAGAACTCAACAGAAATCCCATCTGCATACGACCTGCTTATCCTGACCACAATCCCAGGCCTCAGTTACCGGCACTATAGCATCAGACCTGCCACAGAGGCCCAGGAGGGCACCCAGGAGCCAGCTGCCACTGTGGCCAGCACCCTTCAATTTGGCCGCAGGCTGAGGAAACGCACCAGCCATGCGGGCAGGCGCTTGGTTCCTGTAGCAAATGACTGCTACATTGTGCTGCTCGACCAGGATACCAATCTGATGCACAGCATCTGGGAGAGGTAAGGTACAGCCATTGCTGTCTATGAGGCACAGGCATGCCTGGAGCCTGGGTGTGTCAGGCCCCTACCTGGATTCTCCATTTGTTCACTTGCCTCAGGGAAGGACAGATGGTGGTGAAGCCCCTTCCTGCTATTATGATTTTTAATTCTAGAAGTGTGAGCCTGGGCCAATGCAGGAAAGGCTCTCATACTTTTCCATTCCAGGGCTGTTGATCCATAGAAAAAAAATGAGCATCGAGGTACTCACTCTGGGGAAAAAAAAAAATTATTGTTACCCACTTTTTTTTTTATTTAGAGAAACGTAAAATCTCTATTCAGTGAATAGTGATACTGTCTTTAAAACAGGAAGAGACTTTCAAATTCATCTAGTCCCACCCACCCACCTGTCTACTTACCCATCTAATCACCCACCCCCTTATCTACCCACGCAGCTATCTAGCCATCTATCCATCCACCCAATTATCCACCCACTCATCCATCCACTTACCTATCCATCTGCCTACCCACCCATTCATCATTCATCCATCTACCCACCCACCTATGTACCTACCGATTCATCCATCCCTCCACTCACCCAACCAACCACTCATTCATTCATTCATGTATTCAGCAGCTATTTGTGGACATCAGAGAGGGCAGCTGACCTCCCAGGAAAGTCCTCGTGGCTGGTTTGCTTTTCCTCAGGCCACATCGGTGCAGTCTTCATCAGGCCCAGCTGCCTCTGCCAGAACACCCACGTTGTCTCCTGATGTGACCTCCTAACCGAGAGGAGTACATGGCAGAAAGTTAGGGGACAGGAAATGGGAGGGGGAGACAAGAAGAGGAGGGAGAGAGGAAGGGAGAGGGTGTTTGTGCTGAGATGGGTGTCAAGGAAGAGCTCAAGGTCACTGTCAGCAGTTCTCCACCCACAGAGCTCCAGGACTTCTCTTGAAATGAGGCCCCAGTCAAGTCTGCCCTCATGTTCCCCCAGGGGCTCCTGAGGGAGGGGGGGCAGGTGCAGGGGGAGCAGGTGCAGGGGTGACAGCGGCCAGCGTGGGTGGCTGGCAAGGGGGGACTTGGGCAGAGTAGCTGCAGAAATGGGGGAAACCACAGCATAGTCCCAGCCTGCCAGGTTAGGCCAGGAGAGGCAGAGTGTGTGCCCTGCCCCTTCCTCACTCAGGCCCCCGCCCTGGCTGTAAATGCCCCTTAGGGCAGCCCACGGATGCCACATGCCTAAGCCAAGGTCCACCTGTCATTTCCAGCGCTGGAGCTCAGGCCGTCCTGTCCTGTTCGTGGCCCTGTCTGTCTCTCTTCCTTTTGAACTCCAGTGAGGACAAAGGAGTTCTTATTAGGTTCCCAAAACCCCAGCAGGGGTAAGCCTTGCAAAACCAGTGCCTGCCACCTGGGCAGAAAGGAGAGGCTGTTGGAACTCAGAGCAGGGGCCATCTGGAGACAACACCTGAGGCCAAGTCTCAGACCTTGAAGGGCGTGGTGGGGGGCCCCGGACCTGGAGACCACCTGTGCAGAGACCTGGGGTGGGAAGCCAGGTGTGCAGGCACCAGCCCCAGGGGAAGTTTGGATTGAGGGGAGCACTTTTCTTCCTTACATAACAGCTTGACAGATGCACCTCACGTACCACACAATCCACCCATCTCAAGTGGGCGAGTCAGTGGTTTCTGGTGTGTTCACAGAGCTGTGCAGCCATCACCACAATCAATTTTAGAACATTTCCATTACTCCAGAAAGAAACCTCATGCCGTTTAGCAATCACTCCCCATCTTCCGCTCCCCCGTGGGCCCTGGCCATCCTAGTCTATTTCTGTCTATGTGGATTTGCCTGTTCATACAAAATGTGGTCCTTTTGCAACTCACTTCTTTCACTTTGCATATTTTTTTCCTTTTTTTTTTTTTTGGAGAGAGTCTCATTCTGTCATCTAGGCTGGAGTGCAGTTGCACAATCATGGTTCACTGCAGCCTCAACCTCCGGAGCTCAAGTGATCCTCCCACCTCAGCCTCCTGAGTAGCTGGGACTACATGTGTGTACCACCACACCCAGCTAATTCTTGTATGTTTTGTAGAGACGGGGTTTCTTCATGTTGCCCAGTCCAATCTTAAACTCCTGAGCTCAAGCGATCGCCTCCCTCAGCCTCTCAAAGTGCTGGGATTACAGGTGTGAACCACCATGCCCAGCCCACTTAGCATGTTTTCAAGGTTCATCGGTACTGCAGCACCTCGTTCCTTTTCATGGCTGAATACTATTCCACCGCATGTAGGTACCACATTTTGTTTATCCATTCTTTAGTTGATGGACATTTGGGTTGTTTCTACTTGTTAGCTACTATCAATAGTGCTGCTCTGAGCATTCATGTACAACTTTGTGTGGACATACATTTTTGTTCTCCTGGGTACATAGCCAGGAGTAGAATTACTCGGTCATAAGCTAAGTCTATGTTTAACTCTTTGAGGAACTGCCAGACCGTTTTCCAAAGCGGCTGCACCATTTTCTGTTCCTCCCAGCAGCAGATGAGGGTTCCGATTTCTTCACATCCTCGCCTACACTTGTTATTTTCTGTCTTTTCAATTATAGCCATTCTCGTGGGCGAGAAGTGGCATCTCATGACGGCTTTGATTTGCATTTCCCTGCTAACTAATGATGGTGAGCATCTCTTCATGTTCTTACTGGCCACTGACATATCTGCTGTGGTGAAATGTGTCTTTAGATCCTTTGCTTATTTTTAAATTGGCTTGTCTTTTATTATTGAGTTGTAAGAGTTCTTTATATATTCTAGCTACAAGTGCTATGTCGGATTTAAGATTTGCAAATCCCTCCTCCCGTTCCGTAGCTTGTCTTTTTACTCTTTTTGTGGCCCCAGGGGAGCTTTTTAAAAGGACGCTGGAGGCAAGGGGTGCAGGGCCAGAGGCCCAATTCTTCTCTTTCTCGCCTTCCACAGGCACTCAGTAGAGCCCTCCTTGGCCTGCCTCCCTCTCCTTCCCCACCCTGACCACGTTCCCACGGAGAAGTGGGTGCGGAGGCCGTCCACCTCATTGTCCACCCATAGCCAGGCCAGACTCACGTACAAATACATCACTTGTGCATTTGCTTTGGCCAAACATTGCATTTTACAATTAAAATACTTGGACTGGGCGCAGTGGCTCATGCCTGTAATCCAGTGCTTTGGGAGGCCAAGTCAGGTGGATCACCTGAGGTCAGGAGTTTGAGGCTAACCTGACTCCATGGTGAAATCCCGTCTCTACTGAAAATAAAAAATTAGCCGGGCATGGTGGCACATGCCTGTAATCCCAACTACTCAGGAGACCGAGGCAGGAGAATTGCTTGAACCCCGGAGGTGGAAGTTGCAGTAAGCTGAAATCATGCCATTGCACTCCAGCCTGGGTGACAGAGTGAGACATGGTCTCAAAAAATTAAAAAAAAAAAAAAATACCTGGCCCCTCCTACTCTTCTCCCGTCCTCTGTCCTAACACGAGCATCCTAATAGAAGAGAGGGAGCACAGAACTGGGAGTTGGGGCTGAACTGGAGTTCTGGCTTGCACACTGCCTAGATTTGTCATGTCGGGTGCGTGATGTCTCAGCTTCCATCCTCGGGGTCCTCGGGAATGGGAGGGGTTCATAGTCCCTGCCCGTGGGGGTTGGGAGAATTTAAGGAGGTGAAGTCAGTGAAGGCCCTCGCCTATAACATGGGGTTTGTACACACTGGTGTCCTGCTGGACAGCTCCAGGTCAGCGTGACAGAAGCACGTTCCTGTGCTGGTTTCACTTGCAGACCACAGCCTGGGTGAGCCACTTCCACCTCTGGGGGTACCCTGTGCTGACGCTTACGGCCCCTGTCTGCAGGCTCTGTTCCACTCCTCCTTTGTGACCTGCCCTGGGACAAGATGGTGTCTCAGGCCACGCTGGCTGTGGGTGGGGTCTTGGGGCTTCTAGATGAGCCAGGTCTCGTGGCCTCGTGAGTGCTACGCAGGCCACTCAGATGGCATCTGGAGAGAGGGGCTTGCCAGCCTGTGTCTGTGAGAGCTTGTGCAGGGCGAGAATGATTGATGTCTTCTCTCTCCTGTCTCTGCAGACAGGGCAATCGAACAGTGCGCATGACCCAGGAGTTCCTGGAGTACCACGTCAATGGTGATGTGAAACAGGGCCCCATTTCTGATAACTACCTGTTCACACCGGGCAAGGCCGCGGTGCCCGCGTGGGAAGCTGTAGGAATGGAGATCGTGGTGGGACAGCTTGTGACTGAGATCCGGCAGTACTTCTACAGGTGCCTCCCCTTGGGGTGACCCCACAACCTGGCACGGTCAGCGCACATGGGCAGGCAGCTGAGTGAGTGAGGGTCCATCTTTGCTCTGACCCCAGCACCTGGGGTGTGCGTGACACATGGTTTGATGAAGATATGAATTGCTCTGGTGTCTGCCTGCTGGCTGCATTTGCACGTGCTGTGTCTCATTGGTCAGGAGCTAAGTTCAGAGCTGGGAGAGAGACCCACAGACCCTGTGGCCACAGAGCACCTGTTCTTCCGTGATCAGAGCAGATGTAAGGCAGGCCCAGCATGGCAGCCCTGTGGTGTCAGGGAACCAGGCTGCTCCCAGCTGCTCGGGGTCCTGGGTGATGCCATTGTCCACATGGCCCAAGAAGGCTCCCTGCCTGCTGGCCCTATCTTGCCCTGCCCACCCTGCCCAAGTGAAGGAAGGGAAGGAAAAAGGAAGCATCTAGAAGGTTCCTGGAGCTTTACTTACTGAGGGTCTCGTCTCCTGCAGGAACATGACGGCCCGGGATTATACATATGCGATCCGCTCCCGGCTCATCCACGTGCCGCAGGATTATGACGGGGAGCTGCTCTGCCACCGCATAGAGCAGGAGTACCGGGCCGGCCCCCTGGAGCTGAACCGCGAGGCTGTCCTGAGGACCAGCACCGACATCAACAGCCAGCAGGTCATCTACTCGGACAACAATGGCTACCAGATGCAGCGGAGGCCCTACCTTCCCTATGTGAATAACAGCATTGCCCGGGTATGCCCTGCGGTGCCCACAAGCCACGCTCCCGGGGGCGCCTTTCCCGGGCCCGCTAAGCATCAACTTGTAGAGTAGAGGCCTCCAGTGAGAATTCTTGCTTTGTTTTTTGTTTTTTGGGGTTTTTTTTTGTTTGTTTGTTTTTGCTATTGATGGCATCTCGATCTGGCCCCCAGGCTGGAGTGCAATGAAGCAGTCTCAGCTCACTGCAACCTCTGCCTCCCGGGTTCAAGCAATTCTCTTCCCTCAGCCTCCTGAGTAGCTGGGATTACAGGCACATGCTGCCATGCCCAGCTAATTTTTGCATTTTCAGTAGAGATGGGGTTTCACCACATTGGCCAGGCTGGTCTCGAACTCCTGACCTCAGATGATCTGCCCGCCTCTGCCTCCCTAAGTGCTGGGATTACAGGCATGAGACGCTGCACCCGGCGTCTCCAGCGAGAATTCTTTTAAAGCCTGCTGTTCAGGGCTTGAGAGTGCAGGCTGTGAGTCAGACTGGTGTCTGAATTCTGATGCAACCACATACAAGAATGGTGTGTGCTCTGATTTGTGCCTCGGTTTCCTTTCTCATCCTGAGGATTCATGGGATGACCATGGCAAGTGCTTGGCCAGGGCCTGCACCCACGTCAGCTGGGCCGTATGCTTGGAAGCCAGAGAGCTGGTATCCCAACCCTGGTCTGTTGGTCTCCAAAGTCAGGGTCCCGGCCCCACGCGGCTGCCATGCCTATGGGGAGCGCTCTGGGGTGGCCAGAGGGCAATGCCTGACCTACCTTACCCTTCACCCCAATCACCCCCTTGGGGATGTTTCTGTCTACAGAATTACTACCCCATGGTTCAGTCGGCTTTCGTGGAGGATGCTGAAAGCAGGCTTGTGCTGCTGTCGGAGCGGGCTCATGGCATCTCCAGCCAAGGGAACGGGCAGGTGGAGGTAGGAGGCATGGTCTGTTCCACCGCAGCCCCTCACGGCCTCAACAGGCATGCCCAGGTGCAGGCCACGCCCCTCGGACACCTCCTTCCCGCAGGTCATGCTCCACCGGCGGCTATGGAACAATTTCGACTGGGACCTGGGCTACAACCTCACGCTGAACGACACCTCCATCGTCCACCCAGTGCTCTGGCTTCTGCTGGGACCCCGGGCCCTCACCACGGCTCTGCACCAGAGGAGCGCATTGGCACTGCAGCACAGGCCCGTAGTGCTGCTCGGAGAGCTGCCCGGTAAAGGGGTGCCCCTCCAGAGTCCACGTCAGCACTACCCCAGCACCAGCCTGGCAGGGTGGGCCTTGCAAGGGGCTTGTGGGGCAGGAAGGGACCTCAGGGACCTCTAGCCCAAGCCCCTCATTTAACAGATGAGCAAACCGAGAGCACATAGTGGCTCACTTAACGTCATACAACTAGTAGGTACAGAACCGGGGCTCACCCCTTTCACCATATGCCTCTTCCCTGGGTCCTCTCCATTTTCTTCTCTGATGAATCTTTTCCTTTCTTAATATGATATTATGTCACTACGTCACTTTAGGTCTGGAGGCTCAGCATTTAAAAGACTGGTTTGTTAGCTGGGCGTGGTAGCATATGCCTGTAATCCCAGCCACCCCGGAGGCTGAGGCAGGAGAATCACTTGAACCTGAGAGGCAGAGGTTGCAGGGAGCCAGGATCGCACCATTGCACTCCAGCCTGGGTGGCAGAGCGAGACTCTGTCTCAAAAATAAAGACGAGTTTGATCTGAATCTAGGTGTGCTGGCACCAGGTGGGGTGTTTCTAGTCTAATCTGAAGGACTTCATTCTGTACCTGCACTGAGGCTGCTGTACCTCAGCAACCTTGTTGTTCTGTGTCTCTATTGAAATAGCAGAACATGAGAAACATTAACAATGATTACATTTGAAGACGGTCTTTTGGAGCGGGCTTTAAAACTTCAAGACCTAGATACAGCTTGGTGCCACTCTCTCTAATCCTTAAACTCTTTTCTTTTTCTACCCACCTGCGGAGCTTTTGATTGGCATGTGCTTTTATGATTCTTCCTGCTTTGGATTTAGAGCCAGAACCTTCCCAGGGCAGTAGCAAACAGGCAGGCTGTCACTCGCCCATGCAGCCAGCATATACCGAGCAGTGGCAGTGTGCCTGTGCCATACGCCAGAGATGCAGAAAGCAGCCGCTGGCCCCAGAGAGTCTCCATGGGCTGCTGGACAGGAGGGCGTGCTCGCCTAGAGCCAGGATCCAGGGTGGAGAGGGAGCCGTGCTATCAAGGGCCTGGTGTTTCGTGGGTGAGAAGCAGCGTGAGGCCACAAGCTGGGAGGAGGTCAGATACTGTACGAAGACGGTAGCTCCATCTGAACACCTGGACTCGGAAGGAGTGAGGGCCGAGGTGCCTTCTGAGGAGAGAGACGAGTAGATGACAGAACGGGTGGAACTGGAGTCCCCAGACCTTGAGTAGAAAACGGGGCTCTGGCCGAGCACAGTGGCTCACGCCTGTAATCCTAGCACTTTGGGAGGGCAAGGCGGGAGGATCGCTTAAGCCCAGGAGTTTAAGACCAGCCTGTGAGATCCTGTCTCTACAAAAAAATTTTTTTAATTGGCCAGGGTGGTGGCATGTACCTGTAGTCCCAGCTATTTGGGAGGCTGAGGTGGGAGGATAGTTTGAGCCCAGGAGTCTGAGGCTGCAGTGAGCTCAGCCTGCTGCACTCCAGCCTGCGTGACAGAGCAAGTCCCTATCTCGAAAGAAAGAGAAAGGGAGGGAGGGAGGGAAAAGAGAGAAAAAGAGAAAAAAGAGAGAGAGAGAGAGGGAGGGAGAGAAGGAAGGAAGGGAGGGAGGAGGGAGGGCAGGCAGGCAGGCTCTGCAGGAACGTGACACGTTATCTTGAAGAAGCTTTGTACCCTCTGGGCTTTCTTTTCCTGGTCTCTAGTTGGAAATGGCTAGGCTGAGGAGAGTCAGGGTCCTCCCAGGTCCTCCCAGCTCTAAAGTCTATGGTCTGAGCAAAGGCAGGGAAGCCGAAGCCCAGGGCGCCAGGAACGCAGACACTTCAGGCTGGTGCGCAGTAGGCTACCCACAAGGATGTGTGGGAGGTGGCTGGCAGGGCAGAGACACGTAATGTGCAGAGCTGTGAGTGCCAGGAGGAAGAGTTGAGCCCCAAACCCTATCCTCACTCTGTCCATCTGCCTTGCAGGGACTGCCCCGAAGCCCCCAGTACCCCAGCAGCAAGAGGCCGTGACACTGCCCCCGAATCTTCACCTGCAGATCCTGAGCATCCCCGGCTGGCGCTACAGCTCCAACCACACGGAGCACACTCAGAATCTCCGGAAAGGTGAGGTTCTACCAGCCAGGGTTCAGGAAACACCTGTGTTAACCAGGCCGTCTCTCCAGGACCTTGAACTCAGTGCTTTCCTTTGAGCCCTGGTCTTCCCATCTGTAAAAAAGGAGCAATGGCAATGAGCCTTTCTGAGTGGGAAAGTCAGGGACAGGACAGGAGATCACATACTTGACGTGGTGAATGACAGCATTGTATCAGTCAGGGTGGCTGGTGTATGCTGTAGTAACAAAGAGCCCCAAATGCCCACGGCCTTAGCAGTATACATTCATTTCTCCCCCATGCTGTGCATCCAGTGGTGTTAGCAGGAAGGGTTTTCTTGCTGTGGCCACCAGAGCCCACGCTGATGGAGGCTGTATTGCAGCATGTGCTTCCTCACTCACTGAGGCAGGAAAAAGCTTCTGCCAGAAGGTACTGCGTCACTTCAGCTCAGTTTGCATTGGCCACAGAGGCCACACAACCTCCCCTGACTTCAAAGTGGGCAGGGAAGGAGAGACTGGAGTATATGAGGACATGCCCCATCATGCCTGCAACAGTGGACAAGGATGGAGACATTGCAGCTGGTCTCTTGGTGGGCAGCCTTAGAGTCGGCGAGACCTGGGTGCAAATCCTCGCTCTGCTGTGCACCAGCCGTGTGCCTGGGGCACGTGACTGCCCCTCTCTGGGCCTTGGTTTCCTTGTCGAGTGGGGGCTGTGTCAGCTGTCTGACAGGAAGTGTATTAGTCTGTTCTCATGCTGCTAATAAAGACATCCCTGAGTCTGGGTAATGTATGAAGGAAAAGGTTTAATGGATTCACAGTTCCACGTGGCTGGGGGCACCTCACAATCATGGTGGAAGGCAAATGAGGAGCAAAGCTACGTCTTACATGGCAGCAGGCAAGACCGCATGTGCAGGGGAGCTGCCCTTTACTAAACCATCAGATCTCATGATTCACTGTCAGGAGAACAGCACAGGAAAGCCCCACCCCATGATTCAATTACCTCCTAATTGTCCCTCCCACGACACGTGGACATTGTGAGAGCTACACTGCAAGATGAGATTTGGGTGGGGACCCAGCCAAACCATATCAAGGAGGTTAAGGATAGGAAATGGAGCTGAGTGTGTAAAGCACTGCGTATGGACCAGGGGCATGGGGTTGGTTGATGAGGGCCTTCACTGCCACCTTCCTCTGTCCCTAAAGGCCATCAAGAGGAAGCGCAGGCTGACCTCTGCCGTGTCCTGCTGCGGCTCCACCACCTGTTTGAAGTGGACGAGGACCCGGTCCTGTCTCAGCCAGTGACGGTGAATCTGGAGGTGAACTTCCCCGCCCCCACCTCACCTCCAGACCATGAACCAGGGAAGCAAACCCTAGATGAAGACCCGAGAAACTGCCTCGACAAAGACACCCACCAGGGCATCCTCCCAAATGGGCGCTGGTATGGGCCCCGCCCCTCCCTTCTTCAGTCTCCTGGGTTTGTCAGGTGTTACAACTGGCCTGTATTTTAAGGGTTTCTGTGTGAGCAAGACAGGATCTTGCTTTCTTACCCAGTCTGGAGTACAGTGGCACAAGCCCAGCTCACTGCAACCCCTGCCGCCCGGGCTCAAGTGATCCTCCCACCTCAGCCTCCCAAGTAGCCAGGACCACAGAGATGCACCACCATGCCCAGCTAATATTTTAATTTTTAGTAGAGACAGGGTTTTGCTGTGTTGCCCAGGCTGGTCTTAAACTCCTGGGCTCAAGCAATCTGCCTGCCTCAGCCTCCTAAAGTGCTGGGATTACAGAGGTGAGTGGCCTATGTTTTATTTATTTCATATTTATTCTTGTAGTAAAACTTGTAAAACAGCACAGCCATCATCTGTGTAATCAGAAAACAAAACAGATTCTCTGTAGAGTTGCTGTGAAAGGTGACTTAGACAATCCGGGGTCCACACCCAGGTCCCTCTACGGGAGCGTCTCAGGCACCCCATGCCTCTAGGCCTCAGTTTCCCCCCCCGTAAAATGGGGCGAGGTGAGAGTTCTTTGCCCAGAAGGCCGTTGAGAGGCCCTGGCACCAAGAGGCCTTGTGCAGTGTTGGGGCCCTGAGGCCTGGTCGCCTTTCTGGTTCCCTCTTGGCTGATGTTGCCCGCTGAGCCCGACTGTCAGGCGAGGCTTCGCCACCCGGCCTGCGTATGCTTCCTCCCAGCAGGTGGGACCTGAGCCGCCTCATTTCTTCCCCAGCTTGCATTCCTTCTATTTCATTTCCTGCTCATGGAGAATTGCTGTGAATCTCGGTGTTTCTTCCTTGGCCTCCTTTGACATCCGAGTCTTCAGGGGAAACAGAGAAGCCCCGTACGCTGTCACCCCCTCTTTCATGGTCCTCACCACGGAGCAGCGGGCGTCCCTTCCTCACAGTCCCTGGCCTGCCTGAGAGCAGGTCCAGGCCATGGGGGGTTCCAGTGCCCAGCGCAGGGCCAGCCTGCCCTGGGGAGCAAGGAGGCCGGCATGGGACCTGGAAGCTGGTCATCTTAGGCCCCCAGGTTTCACAGATGGAAGCAGCAAGGCCCTGAGAGGAGAAGATGGTTGGGATGGACATCATGGCCCCTTCCCCATGTGGACCGTGGCGGGTGGGAAGAGTGTGGACAGTTAGAAATGTAGTTAGTTTGGCTGCAAGTCACAAAACACCTAACACGTGTTTGGAACAGGGGACAGAGTGTTTTCTCACCTAGCCAGCATGTCCAGGTAGGCCCCCAGCACTGTCACTGTGGGCCCAGTCACTGTCATCTTCCCGCCATCGCTGGTACACTGGCTGTTTGTCTTTTGCTGGCTGCTTGTTTGCCAGCAAAAAGAACAAATTTCAAGGCAGGGATGGGGCTGGGTGGTAGTGGCCAGAAGGGCCTTGCCCAAGAGTGGCTCTCTCTCTATCCATCAGCACATGGTAACTTCTCCAAGAACCGTCCCACCGCTCCTGCTCCACAGACTTTTCCAGAACCCTAAGGGTCTTCTGCCTCCCCTAGCTGTAAGGGAGGCTGGGGCAATGCCTGTTGGGAAGGGGGGATGGGGTAACTCTGGCTGGCTTCCTCCCTGGACTGGGCATGGGGCCACCTGAGCAATGTGGGGACCGGAGGACTCTGCGCAGGGCAGGCAGTTCAAAATGCCACACCTCCTCGGGCTCCGTCACCTGGTGAAGCAAACGCCTCCCGCCTCAGTGTCCTTATCCATAAAGAACAGGGCCAGTCCTGTCCTCACAGGTGTGCTGTGAGAAGCAGGTGAGGGAGCTGCGTCAGGTGCCGGGCAGGGCCTGGGCCCCAAGTATGCTGGGTTCCTGGCGTGTCTGCCCTGCTGCTCTCTTGGTTCTCTGCTCAGATCTGGGACTTGGTGCAGCTCACCCTCCCTCTGCTTCTCTCCCTGCAGGCTGTGCTGCAGGCGCTGGGGACCGTGGTGGCAGTGGAGGAGCGCTCGCTCACAGGGACCTGGGATGTGAGCACGCTGCGCCGCTGGAGCTGGAGGACGGAGTCTGGCCACCGCAGAGGTTTGGGGACCCCTGCTTCAGCCCCCTACCCAGGATTCCCAGCCAGGCTCAGGAGCTAGTCAGACCCGGTGCACATCCAACCATCTGCCTGTTCTAGCCTGTGTGACCATGCGGGGCTGCTTTTCTGCTTTGAACCTGCACCCCTCCCAGTCAGTTAAGAAAGGCTTTGGGTTAGGGTCCGCCTGCCAGGGCTCCACAGACGTGTGTGTGCATATGCACGTGTGTACACACAGACCGCACACGTTGCCTGTGCCCTGGGTGAGAGCCCCAGGCTTGTGAGGGGCCCAGGGGCTTCTGCCCACCTTGGCCCTGCTGACCACAGCCCTGCGGACCTCAGCCCATCAGCCAGTCCATGCCTCACACGGCATGCGCCACTGCGAGCTCCTGCGCTGCAAGCAGCTTCCAGCCCCCAGTCCGTGTCCACACCATGCCCTCTGCCTGGAATGCACAGATTCCATTTATTGTGGCCAGCACCTGCTCAAGCTCCCCAGGAGACCTCCCCAGAGTCCCCAGCCAGGCCAAGGGCCTCCTCCACTCTCCCAGCCCCAGGGGTTTCCTCTGTCCTGTGCAGCTCCTGCCGTCCACTGCACACAGCATGGTGCCGGGTGCATGGTGCACACTCTGTTAGTGGTGGGAGGAAGGGAGGGAGGGAGGGAGGGAAGATGATCCTTGGTTGGAAAGAAGGACGGAAGATGGATGAGTGATAGATCAGTGAACGGCTCCCTCCCAAGGCTGGAGCCCAAGCCCAGGCCAAGCCTTCCGGGGAGCCTGGTGAGGCGAGGGCAGACTCACCAGATAGTCTCAGAAAGCTCTGGGGCTTTGAGTGCAACACCCAGGGGAAGGGAGGCCACTGGGACCAGGACCAACCTAGGAGTTGCCCTTGGGGTGGGCAGCAATGAAAGAGACCCACAGGAGTCCTGGGAGAAGGGGGTGGCTCCAGGCCATCGCCACAGTGGGAGCCACAGCAGACTGCAGACAGGTGCAGGTGCAGTGTGGTGAGAGGGAGGCTGGGAGGGGGCATCCAGAGCCACGCTGGACAGATCACCTCTGTTCCCCTAGGTGACACCACCTCTCCCTCGAGGCCACCAGGAGGCCCCATCATCACCGTCCACCCAAAGGAAATCCGGACATTCTTCATTCACTTTAAACAGCAGTGAGCCCTGGGCGGGTTTCCCTGGCTGTAGGGCTGCCCCCAGGAACTCGATGTAACAGAACAGACCAGGACAGGGAAGAGCAGTGCAGAGGGACAGGACTGGGGAGTCAGCTGCTCATCTGTCAGGCTGATGGCAGCAAATGATCATATTTGGGGTTTTATCCCTAATTTTCTTAAATAAAAATTACAAGATCCAGGTTCTTCCCTTCCCACACTCAATCAAGCCAGCCCTCTCCTGTTCTCTCATGTAAAGGATATTTGGCATGCTCATGCGTCATTCATTCACAAAAGACAAACTCAGGACGTTCTGCCTGAGGCAGAGCACAAGACCTGCAACAGTGCCGAAACATCCCTGCCATCTGGACCCTGCCAGGCTTGCCCAGGCTGCTGGTGGTAACTGTGGACCTACTGCGTGCCCTGTGCTTTCATAGGCTCATCCCATGCTGGCGACAGCCCTGCAAGGGGCTTGGCTCTGCCACAGGGCAGGAGAGGAAGCTGTAGCACCCAGCCAGAGTTCCAGCCCCAGACGCCCACCTGTGCCCCAGGGCCCCGCCCATCGAGCAGGGAAGGCACAGCAGTGGTCCAAGTCCATGAAGAGATGAAACCACACCGCAAGGATGTCCAATATCAGAACTATTGAGATAAAGTGTAACCTTCCCAGGTCTATGCCCAAGAGAAGTGAAAACCTCTTTTCACCCAAACCTGTGCTCCCGCGTTCACAGAAGCATTACTCAAAAGTCCAACGGTAGAAGCAAACCAAATGTCCAGCCGCAGACGAATGAAGAAATGAAATGTGTTCTCTCTATACAATGGAATATTATTTGGCCATAAAAATGTAGGAGATTCTGACACATGCCACAGCCTGGGTGAACCCTGCAAACATTACATGAAAGAAGCCAGACGCAAAAGACCACACATTGTGTGATTCTGTTTATGTGAAATGTCCAGAACAGGCAAATCTATGTATAAGAGACAAAGCAGATTGGTGGTTGCCAGGGACTGGAGGAAGAGAGAAGAGGCATGACAACTAATAGGGATGGGGTTTCTTTGGAAGACGGTGAAATCGTTGTGGAATTAACAAAGACGGCTGTGCAACTTTGTGAATATACTAGAAACCACTGAATTGTTAACTTTGAAAGATGAATTTTATGGTCTGTGAATTATATCTCCATTTTAAAACTTTTTTTCCTGAGACGGAGTCTTGCTCTGTCGCCCAGGCTGGGATGCAGTGTCATGATCTCAGCTCACTGCAACTTGTGCCTCCCCGGTTTAAGCAGTTCTCCAGCCTCTGCCTCCCGAGTAGCCAGGACTTCAGGCGCGCCACTGCATTCAGCTAATTTTTGTATTTTTAGTAGAGACAGGGTTTCACCATGTTGGCCAGGCAGGTTGAACACCAGACCTCAGGTAATCCACCCGCCTCAGCCTCCCACAGTGCTGGGATTACAGGCATGAGCCACTGTGCCTCACCAAAACTCTTTTAAAGCGTAAACTATGAGATGTAAAGAAATTATACGGTACTCTAGGACTGAAGGAAAGTACCCAGAAAGGACCGACTTGGAAGGATTCAGACCTCTTTGGACAAGGTGCAGTTTGGCCACCAGAGAGCAGACAGTTTCTGGTTTGGCCAGGCAGGAGCTGGGCTGGAATTGCTGACCAAGCAATAGACCACCTCTGTGGGGTCAGGTGACCAGCCACCAGTGGCTTGGATGTGCAGTGAGATCTTGGGGCACAGTGGGTGAGGTAGGAGCTCTTTAGAGCACGTGGGCTGCATGGGGCTTTAGAGCACATGGTTTCTATGTCAAGAAGACTGGAAGCTGGGCACAGTGGTTCATGCCTGTAATCCCAGCACTTTGGGAGGCTGAAGCAGGCAGATCATTTGAGGTCAGGAGTTCAAGACCAGGCTGGCCAACATGGTGAAATGCCATCTCTACTAAAAATAGAAAGTTAGTCGTGAGTGGTGACACGCACCTATAGTCACAGCTGCTTGGGAGGCTAAGGCAGGAGAATCAATGGCTTAAACCTGGGAGGCGGAAGTTCCAGTGAGCCGAGATTGAGCCACTGTACTCCAGCCTGGGTGACAAGAGCAAGACTCTGTCTCAAAAAAATAAATAAATAAATAAGATTATGGAGGCCAGGTGTGGTGGTTCATGCCTGAAATCCCAACACTTTGGGAGCCCTAGGTGGGAGGATCACTTGAGCACAAGCGTTCAAGACCAGCCTGGGCAATATAGTGAGATCCCATCTCTACAAAAACTATTTTCTTAAATGCGCATGGTGGCGTGCACCTGTGGTCCCAGCAAGTCTGGGGACAGAGGTGGGAGGATCACTTGGCCCCAGGAGGTTGAGGCTTCAGTGAGCCATGGTCATTCCACTAACTCCAACCAGGGTGATAGAGCAAGACTTTGTCTCAGAAAAAAATAAAGAAGACTATGGAAATGTTATCCCCAGGCCTGCCAGGCTGTAGAAAAATCACGTGCACTGAAAATACCATCACCCATGCTGACCATCCCCATTCAGAACAGAAACAGCAGCGCAGTCACTTCCTTCTTGCAGGCCCTGCAGCACCCAGCACCCAGCACCCTCAACTGGGAAGAAGGAGAAGAATGTAGAGGACAAGGGAAATCCCACCCACAATAGGCAGAGTATTGGCTAAAATCTACCATCCATTTGTTGTTTTGTTTGTTGTTATTTTATTAGAGACAAGGTCTTGCTCTGTCACCCGGGCAGGAGTGCAGTGGCACTATCACAGCTCAGTGTCACCTCTTAACTTTTGGGCTCAAGCAATCCTCCCATCCCACCCTCCTGAGCAGCTGAGACTACAAGCATGGGTCACCACGCCCGACTAATTTTTAAATTTTTTGTGGAAACGCAGTCTCACCGTGTTGCCCAGGCTGGTCTTGAACTCCTGAGCTTAAGCAATTCCTCCCACCTAGGCCTCCCAGAGTGCTGTGATGATAGGCTCAGGCCACTGCGCCCGGCCTGTTTTTTTTTTTTGTTTTGTTTTGTTTTTTTTTTTTTTTTTTTTTTTCACAAACAAACTCCCAATAAACTATGTTCCTCACTGATAGTCATTATCCCAATAAAAATCCCAACAGGTTTATTGTCGAACTTGACAGGATGATTCTAAAGTGCATTGGGGCTGTCGCAGTAGTTCGCGCCTGTAATCCCGGCACTTTGGGAGGCTGAGGTCGGTGGATCACTGGAGGCCAGGAGTTCGAGACCAGCCTGGTCAACATAGTAAAACCCCCTCTCTACAAAAACTACAAAAATTAGCCGGGTGTTGTGGCATGCACCGGTAATCCCAGCTACTCCAGAGACTGAGGCAGGAGGCAGGAGAATCACTTGAACCCAGGAGATGGAGGTTGCAGTGAGCCAAGATCGCACCACTGCACTCCAGCCTGGGCAACAGAGCACGACTCTGTCTCAAAAATAAGTAAAGTGCATTGGAAACTACAAGTCTTCCATGGTGGCTTACGCCTGTAATCCCAGCAGGATTGGGAGACCAAGGCAGGCAGATCACCTGAGGTCGAGAGTTCGAGACCAGCCTGACCAACATGGAGAAACCCCATCTCTACTAAAAACACAAAATTAGCCAGGCGTGGTGGCACATGCCTGTAATCCCAGCTACTCAGGAGGCTGAGGCAGGAGAATCACTTGAACCCGGGAGGCGGAGTTTGCGGTGAGCCAAGATCGCGCCATTGCACTCCAGCCTGGGCAACAAGAGCAAAACTCTGTCTCAAAAAAAACAAACAAAAAAAAGAAAGTGCATGTCTTCGTCCGTTTGGGCTGCTATCACAGAATACCATACACTGAGTGGCTTAGCAACAATAGGAATTTATTTCTTCCGATTCTTGATGCTGGGAGTTCAAGATCGAGGTGCCAGCAGGTTCAGTGTCTGGGGAGGGCCTGTCTCCTGGTTTAGAGATGGTGCCATCTTGCTCCATCCCCACATGGCAGAAGGGGCAAGGCAGCTCTCTGGGCTCTGTTTCTAGGAGGGTGCTAATGTAACAGAACTGAGTCTATGGTAAAGAAAAATTTTGTTTGCTTGAGTATAATTACTGCTTTGCTTTAGTGTACAGACTACTCATTAAAAACAGCCTCAGGGAAAGAGGACCTTCAGCAGAGGTAAGAGAGAAGTGCACTGACCAGCAATCCTGGGAGCGCTGGCCTCGGGTTTCCACCCACCAGATGAGAAGAGCTGGGCTGAGGTCAAGGCAGGAGGATCACTTAAGCCCAAAAGTTTGAGACCAGCCTGGGCAAAATAGGGAGACCCCGCCTCTAAAAATAGTAACAAAAAATAACTGGGTGTGGCACATGCCTGTAAGCCCAGCTACTCAGGAGACTGAGGTGGAAGGAGTCCCTGAGCCCCGGAAGTCAAGGCTGCAATGAGCCATCCCCGGGCAACAGAGCTAGACGGTCAAAACAAAAAACAACTAAGAATAGTCTGGTTGGCCTGGTGCAGCCAGCAGTTTGGGAGGCTGATGGGGGCAGATCTCTTGAGCCCAGGAGTTGGAGACCAGCCTGGGCAAAATGGTAAACCTGATCTCTTTAAAAAACACAAAAATTAGCTGCGCATGATGCGGTGCCTGTAGTCCCAGCTACTCTGGAAGGTGAAGTGGGAGGATCACCTGAGCCTGGGGAAGTCAGGGCTGCAATGAGCCGTGATCACGCCACTGCACTCCGGCCTGGGCAACAGAATGAAAACCCTGTCTCAAAAAAAAAACAAAAAAAACTGCACCTGCAGAAGGCCACAAGACGCCCACCAAGCCAGCAATGATAACCGCCTGCCTGCGACTGCGCACAGCTGCTGTTCCACAAGAACGCTTTGATCATCATTTGCACATCCCCAGCTTTCCCTTAAAAACATCCATCTGGAGACACAGCGGTGATCTCTGAACACACGAGTTCACTGCCCTCCTCCCACCTCCCGAGTTGCTGGCTTCCTGAATAAAGCTAACTTTCCTGATACCAAAACTTGTCTGTGGCATATCAGCTTTCAAGCGGTGAGTGGCCTGAACCCGAGTTCAGTTACACTAATCCTCATGACCTAATCACCTCCCAGCATCCCCACCTCCTCATACCATCACCTTGGGGATTAGGGTTCAGCATATGAATTTAGGGGGACAAAAACATTCAGACCAGAGCAAAGAGCCCAGAAGCTGAAGCACACACATGGAAGCCAATACAAGAGAGAAGGGGTGCCTTATGGCGGGGAGGAATGGTCACATGGCAGAGGCGCTGTCACAACTGCCTGCTCACCTGGAACAAAAAGAAACTTGACCGTCCCTTGCGTCACACACAGCCAGCCCCTAGCTGAAACCCCAGGCGTCCACATGCACGTGACAGGATGGTCAACCTCATTAGTAGTCAGGTCTATGCAAATGAAACCCAGAGTAAGACACTGTTTCACTTCTGCCATGTTTTCTATTTGAAAGATTAAAAATATGGGCAATTTTTAGTGGCCAGTCATGGAAACTCTATTGGACTTCTAATGTGAAAGTAAACAGAAAGAGCAAACTTAAGAAAATACTTCCATGGTATCTTCCAAAGTTAAAGATTCACAAGCTCTAGACCCAGCAATTCTGCTCCAGGCATGTAACCTAGAAAAAACTATGTTCATCAGGCACGGTGGCTCATGCCTGTAATCCCAGCACTTTGGGAGGCCACGGTGGGCAGATCAGTTGAGGTCAGGAGTTTAAGACCAGCCTGGGCCAACATGGTGAAACCCCGTCTCTCAAAAAAAAAAAAAAATGGCCAGGTATAGTGATGCTCACCTGTAGTGCCAGCTACTCGGGAGGCTGAGGTAGGAGAATCACTACAGCCCGGAGGGCGGAGGTTATGGTAAGCCGAGATGGCACCACTGCCCTCCATCCGGGGCAACAGAGTGAGACTCCACCTCAAAAAAAAAAAAAAAAAAAGGAAAAGAATCGTGTTCATGTGCACAAGAATATGTAAGATTGTTCAGTGGCATCGTTCATGATAGCTGTAAATTGGAAACCATTCATAGGTCCCTCACCAGTGCTTGGATAAATAGAAGGTGGTTTATTTGTACAAGAGAATACTACAGGGCAGCAGGTCTCAAAGTGTGGCCCCCACGCCACTAGTGCCAGCATCACCTGGGGAGTTGTTAGAAATACAAAGTCT